ATTTGGCAACTTCGAAGATGTCCACTATTTTGTTGGATGTTGTATGGTAACAATGCTTGGGCAACAGACACATTATATCCCTACACGGAAAGCAGGTTGCAAATAGTTTCACTATTTGAAATACAGGAAACAGTTACTCAATTCAAAATTTCAATTAAACTTTTCACTGAAGTAAGCATTGCCATCAAGATAACAATATGGATGCTTTTGAAAAATGCAGTCAACCAATATTTTGCAAACGTATTGCGATATGCATTCATTAGTATTTCCCAGCATGGTATACCATGAAAGATATGGCTTACCGTCTTTCGATATTTCTCAATACCACAACAAATTAGAGACTCCATATTACACAAAACCAGCATCCCGAAGGCTTCAACATGATACAGAACAAGTAATGACCAACGATGTACTCACGCCAGCATATCCCTCTGGACTGCGACACCATCGGACCCCAATCATAATTCTAATGATACTTTCCTGACAACATAATAATGATTATCAAACACTGCAATCTCTACAAGCACATATTGTAATACTCACAAAAGCCACAATGACTCAACAGGGAGTCAATTATCTTCAGCTGAACATAAAAATCAGTCTACTTCCACAAGATAAATTCAACAATTCAGACACAACTATTTCAACCATGACAGGGACAAGTCATGAGTGACATCTTCTCCGCCTAATCAACAGTGTCATATGTGAGATGCTGCTTTCACTATTTGCTTAAGCATGGAAACTATTTGAAGAATGACGGAAATATTTAAAGCAACATTCAGCCAACTGAGAAATAACACTGTGATGTCTCTTCATCAAACAGGAGGTTCAGAACATTTCATTAACTCATGAATTGTAATAGAAAACAAAATGTACTAAGTTCACATAAGTGATAAACCTGGAAGCATTTGAACTGACAAGTTTTCCATCAAACATAGCAGCCAGATATTTATTTTATTTGTTACTTTAGTTGACATAAAAGCATTTTATTACCAGTAAACACGGAGACACAATGAACGCACAACATGAGGTACACCATAATTACTGCCAGTACAAACTGAAGCTGTACTGTCTGTCAGTGATGATTACAATGGATACCAATTCCCACAGCAGGAAGTCACTATCTCTGACACAATAATGTCATAAAGATGTTGTCATCAGTCTAAGGGGTGGTGACAAATGCCATACCAGTTTGGGCACCACAATAAGCTTGGTAACTGTAAAGCACAAATAACCCCTTGTTCTCACCTGTATATTATTACTATTAGGTTGACTATTTCTTGTTTGCCATGTGCATTATGTACATGTGTACAAGTTAAGATACTGAAATAGGGAGTATAGATGTCCACGGACCAGCTGTTTGTGAACTGCTTTTTAACCTAATGTGAGCACTTAACCAAGTTGAGGGATGTGTGAACCCTAGACTTGCGCAAGTCTCTAAGGTAATAATAAATAGTTTAAATGATAATTTCTATAAATTATAACGGACTGGTGTACTGTCCACTTATCTAGACTTGCTTCTTTAAAGGATAGAATTACTATACACCAATGGGCTTAGCATTCAGTACAGTCTTGGAACCCTAATGAGATTATTTCCACCATTTATAACTTAGATGGTGTTTTTTCGTTCATCAAGCTCAACACACAGAATATATTTCCATGAAAATCTTTCAAATTACATGTTCAGAAACAAAGACTTATATTAATCTACAATATCTCTATATCCATGAATATCTCTTAGATGATAGTAATATAATTAAACTGAATATATTTTAGCTACAGGACTGCTTTAACTGGCAGTATACATGACCTGAAGGTATGTTCAAAATGCTACAAATAATTTCAGTTTTAAGTTAATACATATCTGTTGCATTAGCCAAATGGTACAATTAATGCATGGAATTCCTACCCCTTCTTTTGTAGCCCCATCAATGAAGCAAGTAGGCTGAGTTCTGGCAATATAATTACCTAATTGTAGATGTAGTGCTAATTCCCAATATATACCAACTTGTCTGTAAACAGCTAACGACCCCACAAACAACGCATGGTGTGCATTTGATGATCTCAAGGGCCTAGGGGTGAAATTCTTCATTTCCAGAATGATAATAAAGCTGTCAGTTTGATTGGCAGATGGTGTGTGTTTCAGCTGTGCCCTGAAATCTGGAAACTTTGGGTGGGGGGATACTCTGACCTTCACCCTCCGCCATCAGTGGAGAAACTTAATTGAGATATCATAGCAAGTCATTTGTTTTAGGTTACTTCTGTCTTGTATCTACAGGAGCAGCAGAAATTGACAGCAATCTAAGTATTTCAAATGTTCTTGTGTATTGTAACTCATAAGGGACACATTTCTATGAAATTTATCACAACTGCTATGAGATAGAGAGAGAGAGAGAGAGAGAGAGAGAGAGAGAGAGAGAGAGAGAGAGAGAGAGAGATGTGGATGTGTTATACATGTATATGCCAATCCACCTAGAAACCATGTATAACAGTGTAACATGGAATTATACAACTCACACACGGTCATGCCAACACCGAGCCAACCAGTCCTTGTCATATTTCCCTTAATGTCCAGCAACAACATCTTTCAACAAGTAACATCTTTCGGTTCTACGCTGCCAGAGGATCAAACCACCAACCATCAGCTTTCCAGGCAAGCACTCTTTCCACCAGACCACCAAGTCAGAGCATGCACAATAAACTATTTACGTAATTTCTGCCTCTAACGATGTAAGGAAGAAAAATCAAAGTAAATGCAGGGATATGATGGCCTTTGCATATTCATTTTTCAGTGGTACTCGCTGTTCAAGATAAAACAAAAACACACAGAACACATGATACATGCCAAATACTTGAATGGTTTTCTAAAACTAAAAGGCCTAATCAGCTTTTAGAAGGCACAATGACAGATGATTAAAACTGTTTTTCTTTATAAGCACACACAACCCACCCATCCTAGACTTCAACACACACTTTGGCACTGACATGCTAAATGACTCCTAATTACCTCGATTACGATATACAGTTTTATTTCCTCATCATCTGATAACAAGTTTGTCTGGAGCATGTATTAATTACATGAGGCATGCACTGCAGCTGTTTGTATGAGTGACAGTACCATTTACTGGTCCTGGAAATGGTAGATCTTGTTTTATGTGGCATATTTTGAAATGGGACAACTGTTCTATAAAGCGAGAGATTAAGAAATTTGCTGTTTCCCTACAGCAAAACAAATAACTTTTAAATTGAGGTGTTCCAACAACATTTAATCTCAGTCAACTTATTGTAATACCTTAAAAAACGATACAGAATTATATGTTCAACTTTGTTGAACATTTCTAATATGAGCAGTGAGTAGTTGCTTTTGAAAATGTTTCCAAGAATAATATTTTAAAACCCTTTTGATGATACAGTGGTTACAAAAATTAAACCTAAATCATATGAACATGCCGCATCGTATTAAAATATGTCTTCAGGGTAAATATCAGTTATTTGCTAACATCACTGCTATAAATAGAAACAGGATGCGATTTGGGTGATAAAGATGTTTTTCAGTATAAAGATTTAGAAAAGTCTAAGCATGCAAGCACTTTCAATCTCATATCCATTTACTCAACTAGTCCAACTATGTAAAAAGATTTCAGATCTTAGTTGGGGTTTTCATCACCTAGCCCCTACCTTTGTTCTTGAGGGCTAGGGATATATTGAGATAGTATGCATCATTGCATGGTGTATGAGAACATATTACATACTGATAATGTATGGCACCATCACTGGCGTTTATTTGCGAACAACAAATAATCTACATAGTCATGGTGAAGACCAGTTAATCTGGAAACATCATTTCCCATTTGCAGTTTATATGGTAAATGTTTTGGCAAGTATCCCCCTCCAAATGTTCTATATTTTGACCACCTTTGGTGCCAAGAGAGAGAGCATTTTTGTCTTCATTTATTGCATCCTGTATTGTTACTGATATGTTCAATATTTATCATGTCGAAGCCACTGCGATTCAAAAACAATTAGACATATTTTTTCACATGTGTCTTTTTGGACAGTTGGGTAGGAGGATATGGATGGAAGTCTTTCCAATGTTTTAGTTAAATTTCGAAAACATATTCCAGCTATTGATCATCTCGGGAACTGAGACTAATGCTTCATCAGCCACATGCAAAGTTATTTTTATACATTTTCCAACAGTATTCATACAAGACAAATAGGCCTTCAAACAAAATCCTTTACGTCTTATAACATCAAATCTGGTCAAATTCTTGCTTATGTCAGCCTTCTCCACCTCTTGTCATACTTCTCTAAATTCGCGGCTTGATGCTGGTATAAAGACGGATATACCACCAATTTATTTCAACAACAGATCAAAATATGCCGTTCGAATCTATCACAGTTTGAATTATCGCTCAGATTGAATAAAAGAAAGACATTCGCCAGATTCATCTCTGTCAGTGTCCACAATAGGCCCACAGGTGTTTGAACTGACAGGTAGAAACCTACCTGAGCGTGACAACACTGAACTGCTCCTTCCAACAAGATCAGGTAACACGTAAATATATATTATCCCCGCAGATATGTCTTTGATGTAAGAAAGAAAACATGACGGTATCTTCAAACACCAACAAAAATAAACATGATTTGTAACTTCAGGAAGTGAGAACGACACATTCCTGCCCCGTCTCCTACAACCACTGACTTCGGGTCGGCGCTTTCTCACCTTCATTTCATAATCAAAACGAGCAGACATACCATGTAAACAAATATTTTCGAAGTGCACCTGTGCGATTATTGTGATCTCCGAATGCCCGTCCGTTTCGAAGCGCACCTTTGCTATTGCTATCGAAGTCAAATGTACGCGGCTCAAACTAAACCCTGCCCGACACACTTGTGGACAAGACATCTGCCCCTCAGTCGACCAAAATAAACCCCTTCAAATACGTCATTTATGTCCAAATAAAGTTTGCCACCAATTATTGAGTTAATAAACTTACCATAAATCGGTGTCAACTAAGAAGATTCTTTTCTGATATGTTGAACACAGCGATAGTATTCCGAATATTTTGGAACAAGCACGTTAGCGAGTACAGAGCAAGTCACGTGACACAACTCATGACGTCAGCTCGAGCGACTCCCAGCAGGAACTATTTCAAGCACGTCAAGCCAGACTAGCTACACGAGATCTATAAATAACATAAATTGCTGGTGCTCTCTCAGATCCTCGGTAGTATAGTGGTCAGTATCCCCGCCTGTCACGCGGGAGACCCGGGTTCAATTCCCGGCCGGGGAGAAACTTTTTAATAATTTTTTTATTGCAAATTAATGCACCACCCCTCTGTGCCAGACTATGAAACTGATAATAAAACTGTAAAACATCATAAACTAATGATGTCTTTGGAAGTCTACAAGATGAATTTCAACCTGTTTCAGTTTTTGTCGGTTTTTATTCCAGCAAAATCAGGTTAAAAGCCTGTCAACCAAGCATGGTTGTATTCAGAGACAATGGTTACAAAGACTGTCAAATGAGTAGTGTATAAGAGATTTCAGGTAATATCGACAGTGACCATAAACCTGATTTTTTTGTAACATTTTTCTTCTCATCTGACTGGGTGAATATAAAAAGCATTGGTTTTCCTTTTCTCCAAATTTCAGTTGATAAGAGTGTATTTCCATGCAGAGCCTGTGTTGACGCCAGTGCTCTGACTTCAAGTGATTTGTAAAGAAAAATTAGCATTAACATTTATAAACGTATAACACATTGTGGGTTGATAGTTTTATAGCACTAGTTTTATGTCCTGGTGCTCATTTGCCAGTCACACCTTCACAAAGTGATAGGAAACAGATCAAATACATCATCTGCTGTAACATTTTCTTTGACCCTAAGCAACATAATTCATAATCCAGTGACAAATGTGTGGACAATTATTTGCAAGCAGCTGTGTTAACGAATTCCAGAAATCTTTTATTTCATGGGGAGAGTTACAAGTACACAATGTGTCATATTTTAATTTTAATAAAATATTTATGGTTATGATCTTGTGAAGAAATATAACTGAAACCATCTAATTTGTCCATCCTGAGATTATTTATATACTTTGAGAAAAATGCTTTCCCACTTCCAAATATATTTTCCCATTTAGTTTTGAATTACATGTGAGATTATACTAAAGCATAAAATAATCTTTGAAGGCAAGTAGGTAGAACACAGCTTCTTTAAGGATGTGCCCCATAAATGCTTGGGCGTAAATATTTTCTTAAAAATCTGCAGTTGTTATACTATTTTATTGAAAAGTCAGCAAGTAAGGTCCAGTTTTATGACATTCTGTTTGTCTGCCTGAAGTCAACTGAATGTAAGAATGACAGAGTTCACTCCCTTGCATGTGTGACAAAGTTGTTTGTACATGTATTTGTGTGTGATACATCACAACACAAACCTATGTCAGCTGTTGTACATCTTGTAATATTTAGCATTGTTTTGCCAATTTTTATTGTTTCAAGCTAATCTTCATTTAGGTTGTGACAAAAAAGAAACACATGATTTCATATGCTTTAATGATCTTTTTACATAGTTTACAAAAAACCCAACATAATTTGTACATGAAATGAGACTTGTATGCTTAGTTATATTCACAAACTATCCTGTACCTTGTCACCATAAACAAACAAACAAACAAGCATCAACAAAGCTATTATGATCTGATGTCATACATGATTAATCAAAATCTGTTTAACATGAAACCTATTTCACCTCCTAAGACTACATGGAAATGAATAAACGTTGTGCAGCCTGTGTAGAAATTATCTTCAAAAGCCAGTGTGGTATGTAAACCCAATACCCTCCAGATAGTCAGTGTTAGAAAGTCAGAAAAGGTGTTAGATATATTCACTGGTAGACAAACATTAGGCCCCAGCAATAGAGTTATGTTATTTAAAAAGTATATCTACACACACAATTATTATTTTATAGAAAAATTACAATGGAAACAATGCTAATGTAGACTTAGGTCGGATGATTTGTTTAATTCATTGTCATGACAATGGGAGACTGACTTATTCACTACTTGTAAACAATTCATTTTCATTCTGAAATGAGTCACCTGTTGTTGTAAATTGTAACTGAGGTGTTTATTACAAATTCTGCATTTCATGCCTTGAAACAACAACTCTGGCATTGTTCTTACTGAGGAGGTGAAGTTTTTTCTGAAATACTTTTACGAATGACACATTAAGCAGGGCTTGTATGTTGCCCTCTACATTGACTAGGCCATAAAGATTACAAGTAATATTGTTAATTTTTCACACACACAACCATGTTCATATGAATTGCCATACACTCACTGCATTACTTGAATCACCATTTGAATCACAAGATTTTATATGTATAGTGATGCTTGAATTTTTCATACATTTATTGCAAAACACAAATCACTATATATGTGAATAGCTATATGTTAACTGCCATAAAGCAAACATGAATCACCATATACTTATAGCAATATGGGAATCACCATGTACTTATAACAATATGTGAATCACCATATACTCATAGCAATATGGGAATCACAATGTACTTATGGCAATATGGGGATCACCATGTACTTATGGCAATATGGGAATCACCATGTACTTATGGCAATATGGGAATCATCATGTACACATAGCAATATCTGAAACACAATGTATTTATAGCAATATGGGAATCACCATGTACTTATAGCAATATAGGAATCACAATGTACTTATGGCAATATGGGAATCATCATGTACACATAGCAATATGTGAATCACAATGTATTTATAGCAATATGGGAATCACCATGTACTCATAGTAATATGTGAATCGCTATGTACTCATAGCAATATGGGAATCACCATGTACTCACACCAATCTGGGAATTGCTATGTACTCACAGCAATATGGGAATCACCATGTACTCATAGCAATCTGGGAATTGCTATTTACTCACAGCAGTATGGGAATCACCATGTACTCCTCACAACAATATTGGAATCACCATGTACTCATAGCAAAATGTGAATCGCTATATACTAATATTTATATGGGAATCACCATGTACTCATAATAATATGGGAATCACCATGTACTCATAGCAATATAGGAATCACCATGTACTCAGTAATATGGGAATCTCTATGTACTTACAACAATATGTTAATCACCATGTACTCATAGCAATATGGGAATCACCATGTATTCAGCAATATGGGAATTGCTATGTACTCACAGCAATATGGGAATCACCATGTACTCACAGCAATATGGAATCACCATGTACTTATAGCAATATCGGAATCACCATGTACTCATAGCAATATGGAAATCACCATGTACTTATAGCAATATGGAATCACCATGTACTTATAGCAATATCGGAATCACCATGTACTCATAGCAATATCGGAATCACCATGTACACATAGCAATATGGAAATCACCATGTTGTTATGGCAATATGGGAATCACCATGTACTTATGGCAATATGGGAATCACCATGTACACATAGCAATATGGGAATCACAATGTACTTATGGCAATATGGGGATCACCATGTACTTATGGCAATATGGAAATCACCATGTTGTTATGGCAATATGGGGATCACCATGTACACATAGCAATATGGGAATCACAATGTACTTATGGCAATATAGGAATCACAATGTACTTATGGCAATATGGGAATCACCATGTACTTATGGCAATATAGGAATCACAATGTACTTATGGCAATATGGGAATCACCATGTACACATAGCAATATGGGAATCACAATGTACTTATGGCAATATGGGGATCACCATGTACTTATGGCAATATGGGAATCACAATGTACTTATGGCAATATGGGGATCACCATGTACTTATGGCAATATAGGAATCACAATGTACTTATGGCAATATGGGAATCACCATGTACTTATAGCAATATAGGAATCACAATGTACTTATGGCAATATGGGAATCACCATGTACACATAGCAATATGGGAATCACAATGTACTTATGGCAATATGGGGATCACCATGTACTTATGGCAATATGGGAATCACCATGTACTTATGGCAATATGGGAATCACCATGTACTTATGGCAATATGGGAATCACCATGTACACATAGCAATATGGGAATCACAATGTACTTATGGCAATATGGAAATCACCATGTTGTTATGGCAATATGGGGATCACCATGTACACATAGCAATATGGGAATCACAATGTACTTATGGCAATATGGGAATCACCATGTACACATAGCAATATGGGAATCACAATGTACTTATGGCAATATGGGGATCACCATGTACTTATGGCAATATGGGAATCACCATGTACTTATGGCAATATGGGAATCATCATGTACACATAGCAATATGGGAATCACAATGTACTTATGGCAATATGGGGATCACCATGTACTTATGGCAATATGGGAATCACCATGTACTTATGGCAATATGGGAATCATCATGTACACATAGCAATATCTGAAACACAATGTATTTATAGCAATATGGGAATCACCATGTACTTATAGCAATATAGGAATCACAATGTACTTATGGCAATATGGAAATCACCATGTACTTATGGCAATATGGGAATCACCATGTTGTTATGGCAATATGGGAATCACCGTGTACTTATGGCAATATGGGGATCACCATGTACTTATGGCAATATGGGAATCACCATGTACTTATGGCAATATGGGAATCATCATGTACACATAGCAATATGGGAATCACAATGTACTTATGGCAATATGGGGATCACCATGTACTTATGGCAAAATGGGAATCACCATGTACTTATGGCAATATGGGAATCATCATGTACACATAGCAATATCTGAAACACAATGTATTTATAGCAATATGGGAATCACCATGTACTTATAGCAATATAGGAATCACAATGTACTTATGGCAATATGGGAATCATCATGTACACATAGCAATATGTGAATCACAATGTATTTATAGCAATATGGGAATCACCATGTACTCATAGTAATATGTGAATCGCTATGTACTCATAGCAATATGGGAATCACCATGTACTCATAGCAATCTGGGAATTGCTATTTACTCACAGCAATATGGGAATCACCATGTACTCCTCACAACAATATTGGAATCACCATGTACTCATAGCAAAATGTGAATCGCTATATACTAATATTTATATGGGAATCACCATGTACTCATAATAATATGGGAATCACCATGTACTCATAGCAATATAGGAATCACTATGTACTCAGTAATATGGGAATCGCTATGTACTTACAACAATATGTTAATCACCATGTACTCATAGCAATATGGGAATCACCATGTATTCAGCAATATGGGAATTGCTATGTACTCACAGCAATATGGGAATCACCATGTACTCACAGCAATATGGAATCACCATGTACTTATAGCAATATGGAAATCACCATGTACTTATAGCAATATGGGAATCACCATGTACTCACAGCAATATGGAATCACCATGTACTTATAGCAATATCGGAATCACCATGTACTCATAGCAATATGGAAATCACCATGTACTTATAGCAATATGGGAATCACCATGTTGTTATAGCAATATAAGAATCACAATGTACTTATGGCAATATGGGAATCATCATGTACACATAGCAATATGTGAATCACAATGTATTTATAGCAATATGGGAATCACCATGTACTCATAGTAATATGTGAATCGCTATGTACTCATAGCAATATGGGAATCACCATGTACTCACACCAATCTGGGAATTGCTATGTACTCACAGCAATATGGGAATCACCATGTACTCACAGCAATATGGGAATCACCATGTACTCCTCACAACAATATTGGAATCACCATGTACTCATAGCAAAATGTGAATCGCTATATACTCATATTTATATGGGAATCACCATGTACTCACACCAATCTGGGAATTGCTATGTACTCACACCAATATGGGAATCACCATGTACTCACAGCAATATGGGAATCACCATGTACTCCTCACAACAATATTGGAATCACCATGTACTCATAGCAAAATGTGAATCGCTATATACTCATATTTATATGGGAATCACCATGTACTCATAGCAATATGGGAATCACTATGTACTCACAGCAACATGTGAATCACCATGTACTCAGCAATATGGGAATCACCATATATGATACACATATGATACATCTACAATGTTCAGCAATACACATACTGCCATACACGATACATACATAATATGGATAACATTGAAATTTTAGATTAGTGATTACAAACAAAAAGTAAAGAAGCCATAAGCATGATAAAGAATCAAAATGATGTAATGCACATTGTTATTTCTCAATACTGAATATTGACAGCAGAGTTACTTATCTTTGACGAACACAAAACCTGTCACTATCAGCTATTTCCTTTTGAAAGGATATAAGTAATTTGCTCACATGATCCATTGTCTTCGTCAGCTGATGAATGTCAATACATACAACTTCAACCCTTCAAAAATGTACACCATAACAAAATATCACTTATATATACATTTTACCTAGCAACAAATGTTGATAACTTCTTTACCATGCATGACTTCGGCTCTAATGATTTCTTATCCAAATCAAAGGAAGTCATAGCCCCTATTTCATGAAGTCATTCACAAAACCAATACCTACATTTACATTTATTATGAAATGTGGTCACATACTGTCAAGTGCTTTACTTCTGGTATTAATGAAACTTGTCTCTCAGAGAAGTCAAACACACTGGATACAATTTTAGTCATTTTGCCTCCAGATATGTCCAGGACAATATATGCTTTAAATATATTTAGTCTAGAGTTGTGAGGTATATTGGATTTGCTGTGAATATACATGTTTATGGTGCAAGTCTATCAGCTGTATACACTTGAGACAAGGAAACATTATTCTATATATTTGTATGAACACATCACAGTGAAGACAGTGTGGAGACATAACCTAGCAGAACTACATGCTGTCATCATGATAGCCATTGTCCATCAGTTAACAGCACAGTTGACAGTTTTAGTTCATCAATGAGATGAACTAATATAGTCAACTGCAAGTGAGTTGTTGTTGGAGTGAGTGAGTTGTTCTGATGGCTTGCTGTAAGGCAATACTAAAGAGGGTTGTATACCATGATGTAGGGGCTAGGAGGTTATTGTGTTGAGAGGCTTGGAGTATTGGTGTGGGCAGTGATTAAAGGTGAGGGAGATTCTTTTTTCACACTCTATCATAACATTTCAATACTATCATTTATTACTTTTGAGTATTTGATGATGTTGCGTATTAAAACTGAGGGCACTCGCTGAAAATAGACTTAACACTTTTTAACAGATTGGGGCATATTGGTAAGTTGGGGTGAGCATTATGGTAAGTTGGGGTGAGCATTATGGCCACTGACAAAATATATACAGTGTACAAATCATATGTGTTATTACTTTTGCTTTTCAATCAATATGTGTTTTTACTTTTGCTTTTCAATCCGTAATACGATGGTAATCTTAATTTACTTGAGATGTAGATTGGAAAAAGAAACATTTCTTTTTTAGGTCATATGTATTCTTAAGACTATTTAAGAAAGATGAAAATTCTAAGCCTTTTCATGCCTGATAAAATCCTGTATCATCATACTCTTGGTGTAGAGAGTAGTACCTGGCAAGAATGAGCAGGAAGAACATAACACATAACGTCAGATGCTTCCTATGGTTGGGCGAGAAAGAGTAAAGACATTGCATTTGTAAAGTAACAAAAAATACCTGAGTATGTAGACGAAATGCATATATCATTCAGGAGATACCCTTAGTTATGCGAGCTGGAGCCGACGAATGTCTACCAATTCAATTTTTATGATCCAAAGAAGTACCATACCAGGTAATTCATGTTCATAATGCAAAGATATAGTCCCTATTTCACAAAGGGTACAAACTGCAAGGCCTACACTAAAAAATATGGACATCAGACTATTGCTTTAAGACAGTTCAGTTCTATCTAGATTGAGATCATATGATCTGGTGGAAATCACATGACTGTCGAGTGGAGATAACTGGGAACAGGAGCCAAATGGAAGGTCAGGCAGACAGTCAGCATACAGAGATGCTACAGTTTTTCAACCAGCTGCAGCAGCAGCAACAGCAGCAGAAGCTGCAGAAAACAGTTTGTATTCAGATGACACAGATACAATACAGAACAACATATTTGGAGTTGTGATCATGAAATAATATGGGACTTGTAATCACCTCCGTGCTTAGACAGGCCTTGGACAACCATTCCATTGATTCACAATCATTATGCATTCAGGACACGTGACACAGTGGATACTTTTATCACTTATAGCAGCAACACAACTGAATAAACTACACCTTAAAAAATCACAATCTGTGCCACACATAGTTCATTGGGCGGTATCATTCTGCTCATCCATGGTCATGTGACCTCGCACGTGGAAGCTTGTTCCTTATGGTTGTGTTGTGCGTGGCTGACATTATGTACAGTTCGTTTGGAATACTTTAACTTGGTGTCCAGCCATTTCTGGAGGATAGTGGGGAGGTATGGCCATGATGGCTGAGTTTCAATACGATAATTGAACACCGTTTCCAGACACAACCTGAAAAAAACAAAGGGTTAGAAATGCTTATGAAACAACATTTAGGTATTTAACATTTTTAGCCTACTTCGATTTATGTTTGCAAATGACAGCAACTAATAAGTTGTAAGGATTGAAACAAGGCTTCTTTTAAACATGAACATGTGCTGGGCCCAACTATGCCAAAATTCAACACATTCTGAAAAAGAAAGCCTATTATTAGCCATTATACGATTTCTAAAAATGAGGCTGTAAAAAAATTAAATATGCCAAAAAAAGTATGATATGCAAGGCATAATGTACCTAATATTTGTTGCATATTAAATTTCAAAATGATACATGGAGAAATGGCTATGTAATCATCCAAACTGATATTTTCAATATTACCACCAAAGCTGGCTTTTAGAGACACCAAAGCTGGATCGTTTCAGTCCCTTAGGCCTTGCAGTTTCATTGATTTTGTTTGTTTGCTTATTGATTAATGCTACAGTGGCAGTCTTTAAATAACTGAGTCTGGACCAGACAACCCAGTGATCAACAGCATGTATACCAAGTAAGCAAATGTGGCCACCCAATACGACAAGCACGGTTTGCTGAAGACCCATTTTAACTCTGATCTTCATGGGTTTGTAGTTTCATTGCAGATGCTGACAAAGCCAAAGTTAACGATGGACCGACAATGGACAATATGTCATGCTATAAGTTTACTAAGCAGGTAAGCACTCCACCTGTCAGCTAGTGAAGAGGCTACAAAAGTCAGCACTCCAAATTTAGCTGAAATACCACTGTCATTGACTTGAGATATCCAACTGGAACAGTGTTGAGTAAATGTCAGTAGTTTTCTGTCAAATTTAAATAAAAACTTTGTTTACAGTTCAGAGATTGAGTGAGTAAAGTTAGTTTTACCTGATTTTAACGGCGATAAACACCAGAATATCACGGCAAGAAACACCAGAAATGGGCTTCATCCATTGCACCCATGTGGGGAATCAAACTGGGTCTTCAGCGTTATGAGCAAACGCTTTAACCACTGAGCTACTCCACCACCCTACAGTTCAGAGAACCAAAAATCTGTCTGAAATCTTCAGTGGTAAACAAAAGGTGCTCCATCAAAGACAATGTCTCATCAAATACTGACTGATATTATAAACATTGAATGGAATCAGTTATGTGCAGCAAGTCTTACCTGAGGAGTGATTTTGGCTGTAATCTAAACACTAGGATTTTGTTAGAATGTTCCTGAAAGAAAATATAGGCAATGAATAAAATGAAAGTACAAGTTAGAATTGTATTGTGAGTATTATACAAATATCATAATAACCTGTAATACTTCTTTGAGTGCCATTTTAGAAATTGGGAAGCACAATATTGACAAAATCAATGGATAACAATAGTACAAGAATCTGTATTGAAACATCACACTCATGAAACAAAATACAAGAAGCTGTTATCCATGAAGTTTGTTAATTTTGAACCTGTAACACAATGAAATCTGACCCATGTTAACCAATGGTCAATTATGTGTATCAAGCCACGCCAATATGGTACATTATAAGGGTAATGCTATTTTTGAGGGCATTATCATTTGCAGAAGCCCGAGGTCTTCCATTAACTGCCCGACGAAGGAGGGCAGTTGAAAAAGACCGAGGGCTTCTGCAAATGATAATGCCCTCAAAAATAGCATTACCGCTATTACTGCTAAAATACATGGAATTTGTGTTGAAAAGAAAAAGGAAACAATGAAGGAATCGGACTGTAAGTTTACCCAAATCAACTTCTGACGGGCTTGACTGCCCGAATGCAATTACGTCATCGAACAATTCAAGTGACGTCACAACAGAAAGTGACGATATTCGACCTTGGCCTTTGACAAGACCATAGCCTGCAACCTGTCAAACTATGACAGTGTTCGGTTTTGGTCCATCAACAGTCTTAATAGTGCAATTGTTAAGGTTAGCACCAACAAGAAAGACAATATTACCGCTATTTAAAGCGGGAATTTGGGTTGCTTTGACTTGTTTGACCCAGAATAACTGCCAGTCGAAAGCCAATTAATGTCGAACTATGACGTCACTTGACAACAGAACTGATAGTGGCCCGTCATTAAGGTTGAGCGGTCCAATATCATTTGCAGCGGACCGCAAATTTCTGATAATGTGCGGGCTGTTTCATGATAATTCCATGTATTTTAGCTATAAGACAAGTCACTGCTAAGAAATGGGCTTCTGATCACTGTCAGTGAATGAATGATGCCCAGTGTCACATTTAGCATTATTCCATCTGTATCTCAACTGCCCAGAAAAAATAGACTGGACACCCAATTGTAATTTGTCCATCTATCCTATATCCTGGCTGTTAAACCAAGCATGAGGTACTGGGACCTATTCTGATTTGGATCCCCACAGGGAGACAAGCATGGGGTACAGGACACCTGATACCTCCACAGGGAGACAAGAATGGGATACTGAGGACCTGGAACCCCCATAGGGAGACAAGCATGGGTACTGGGTACCTGATACCTCCACAGGGAGACAAGCATGGGGTACTGGGTACCTGGAACCTCTACAAGGAGACAAGCATGGGGTACTGGGCACCTGGATGCCCTACAGGGAGACAAGCATGGGGTACTGGGTACCTGGAACCTCTACATGGAGACAGGCATGGAGTACTGGGCACCTGGAAGCCCTACATGGAGACAAGCATGGGGTACTAGGGACCTAGAAGCCCTACATGGAGACAAGAATGGAGTACTGGGCACCTGGAAGCCCTACAGGGAGACAAGCATGGGGTACTGGGACCTAGAAGCCCTACATGGAGACAAGCATGGGGTACTGGGCACCTGGAAGCCCTACATGGAGACAAGCATGGGGTACTAGGGACCTAGAAGCCCTACATGGAGACAAGCATGGGGTACTAGGGACCTAGAAGCCCTACATGGAGACAAGCATGGAGTACTGGGCACCTGGAAGCCCTACATGGAGACAAGCATGGGGTACTAGGGACCTAGAAGCCCTACATGGAGACAAGCATGGGGTACTGGGGACCTAGAAGCCCTACAGGGAGACAAGTATGGGGTACTGGGCACCTGGAAGCCCTACATGGAGACAAGCATGGGGTACTGGAGACCTGGAACCTCTACAAGGAGACAAGCATGGGGTACTGGGGACCTGGAACCTCTACAGGGAGACAAGCATGGGATACTGGGGACCTAGAACCTCTACAAGGAGACAAGCATGGGGTACTGGGGACCTGGAACCCCTACAGGGAGACAGCATAAGTACTGGGGTACTGGGGACCTGGAACCTCTACAAGGAGACAAGCATGGGGTACTGGGGACCTGGAACCCCTACAGGGAGACAAGCATGGGGTACTGGGGACCTGGAACCTCCTACAGGGAGACAAGCATGGGGTACTGGGGACCTGGAAGCCCTACAGGGAGACAAGCATGGGGTACTGGGGACCTGGAAGCCCTACAGGGAGACAAGCATGGGGTACTGGGGACCTGGAACCCCTACAGGGAGACAAGCATGGGGTACTGGGGACCTGGAACCCCTACAGGGAGACAAGTACGGGGTACTGGGGACCTGGAAGCCCTACAGGGAGACAAGCATGGGGTACTGGGGACCTGGAACCCTACAGGGAGACAAGCATGGGGTACTGGGGACCTGGAACCCCTACAGGGAGACAAGCATGGGGTACTGGGGACCTGGAAGCCCTACAGGGAGACAAGCATGGGGTACTGGGGACCTAGAAGCCCTATATGGAGACAAGCATGGGGTACTGGGTACCTGGAAGCCCTACAGGGAGACAAGCATGGGGTACTGGGGACCTAGAAGCCCTATATGGAGACAAGCATGGGGTACTGGGGACCTCTGTCCCCTACAGGGAGACAAGCATGGGTACTGGGGACCTGGAAGTCCCTACAGGGAGACAAGCATGGGGTACTGGGGACCTATTCTGTCCCCCTATAAGGAGACAAGCATGGGGTACTGGGGACCTGGAACCCCTACAGGGAGACAAGCATGGGGTACTGGGGACCTGGAAGCCCTACAGGGGAGACAAGCATGGGTACTGGGTACTAGGGGACCTGGAGTCCTACAGGAGACAAGCATGGGGTACTGGGCACCTGGAAGTCCCTACAGGGGAGACAAGCATGGGGTACTGGGTACCTGGAACCTCTACAGGGAGACAAGCATGGGGTACTGGGGACCTGGAACCTCTACAAGGAGACAAGCATGGGGTACTGGGGACCTGGAACCCCTACAAAGGGAGACAAGCATGGGGTACTGGGGACCTGGAACCCCTACAGGGAGACAAGTATGGGGTACTGGGGACCTGGAACCCCTACAGGGAGACCAAGTACTGGGGACCTGGAAGACAAGCATGTGGGTACATGGGGACCTACTGGGGACCTGGAACCCTACAGGGGAGACAAGCATGGGGTACTGGGGACCTGGAAGCCCTACAGGGGAGACAAGCATGGGGTACTGGGGACCTGGAACCCCTACAGGGGAGACACAAGCATGGGGTACTGGGCACCTGGAAGTGTCTACAGATTCCCAGGGAGACAAGTACAGGGGTACTGGGGACCTGGAACCCCTACAGGGGAGACAAGCATGGGGTACTGGGGACCTGGAACCCCTACAGGGGAGACAAGTATGGGGTACTGGGGACCTGGAATCCCTACAGGGGAGACAAGCATGGGGTACTGGGCACCTGGAAGCCCTACAGGGGAGACAAGCATGGGGTACTGGGGACCTGGAACCCCTACAGGGAGACAAGTACATGGGGTACTGGGGACCTGGAACCCCTACCAGAGGGAGACAAGCATGGGGTACTGGGGACCTGGAATGTCCCTACAGGGAGACAAGCATGGGGTACTGGGGACCTGGAACCTCCTACAGGGAGACAAGCATGGGGTACTGGGGACCTATTCTACAGGAGACAAGCATGGGGTACTGGGACACCTGGAAGCCCTACAGGGAGACAAGCATGGGGTACTGGGGACCTGGAACCTCTACAGGGGAGACAAGCATGGGGTACTGGGACCTATTCTGACCTGGAACCCCTACAGGGGAGACAAGCATGGGGTACTGGGGACCTATTCTGTCCCCCACAGGGAGAGACAAGCATGGGGTACTGGGGACCTGGAACCTCTACAGGGAGACAAGCATGGGGTACTGGGGACCTGGAACCCCTACAGGGAGACAAGCATGGGGTACTGGGGACCTGGAACCCCTACAGGGAGACAAGCATGGGGTACTGGGGACCTGGAACCTCTACAGGGAGACAAGCATGGGGTACTGGGGACCTGGAACCCCTACAGGGAGACAAGCATGGGGTACTGGGCACCTGGAAGCCCTACAGGGGAGACAAGCATGGGGTACTGGGACCTACCTGGAACCCCTACATGGGGAGACAAGCATGGGGTACTGGGACCTATTCTGTCCTGAACCTGGAACACAGGGAGACAAGCATGGAGTACTGGGGACCTGGAACCTCTACACAGGGAGACAAGCATGGGGTACTGGGGACCTGGAACCCCTGGACACAGGGAGACAAGCATGGGGTACTGGGTACCTGGAACTCTACAGGGAGACAAGCATGGGGTACTGGGCACCTGGAACCTCTACAGGGGAGACAAGCATGGGGTACTGGGGACCTGGAACCCCACACAGGGAGACAAGCATGGGGTACTGGGGACCTGGTCCTTGGACTCCTACAGGGAGACAAGCATGGGGTACTGGGGACCTGGAACCTCTACAAGGGAGACAGGCATGGGGTACTGGGCACCTGGAACCCCTACAGGGGGAGACAAGCATGGGGTACTGGGGACCTGGAACCTCTACAGGGAGACAAGCATGGGGTACTGGGGACCTGGAACCTCTACAGGGAGACAAGCATGGGGTACTGGGGACCTGGAACCCCTACTGGGGAGACAATCTGAGGGTACTGGGGACCTGGAACCCTACAGGGGAGACAAGCATGAGGGGTACTGGGGACCTGGAACCCCTACACAGGAGACAAGACAGGGTACTGGGGACCTGGAACTGGGAGACAATTCAGGGGTACTGGGGACCTGGAACCTCCACAGGGAGACAGGCATGGGGTACTGGGGACCTGGAACCCCTCCTGGAGACAAGCAGGGGTACTGGGGACCTGGAAGCCCTACAGGAGACAAGCATGGGGTACTGGGGACCTATTCTGTCCTGGAATTCCTACAGGGGAGACAAGCATGGGGTACTGGGGACCTCTGTCCCCTATTCCCACAGGGAGACAAGCATGGGGTACTGGGGCACCTGGAAGCCCACAGGGAGACAAGCATGGGGTACTGGGGACCTGGAACCTCTACAGGGAGACAAGCATGGGGTACAGGGGACCTGGGGACCTGGATTCCCTACAGGGAGACAAGCATGGGGTACTGGGGACCTGGAACCCCTGGATTCCCACAGGGAGACAAGCATGGGGTACTGGGGACCTGGAAGCCCCTACAGGGAGACAAGCATGGGGTACTGGGTACCTGGAACCTCTACAGGAGACAAGCATGGGGTACTGGGGACCTATTGGAACCTCCACAAGGAGACAAGCATGGGGTACTGGGGACCTGGGAACCCCTACAGGGAGACAAGCATGGGGTACTGGGGACCTATTCTGACCTGGAACCTCACAGGGAGACAAGCATGGGGTACTGGGGACCTGGATCCCTCACAGGAGACAAGTCACGAGGGTACTGGGGACCTGGAACCCCTCCACAGGGAGACAAGCATGGGGTACTGGGGACCTGGTCCTGGATACCCAGGGAGACAAGCATGGGGGTACTGGACCTGGACCTACAGGGGAGGCATGGGGTACTGGGACCTGGAACCCCTACAGGGGAGACAAGCATGGGGGTACTGGGGACCTGGAACCCCTACAGGGAGACAAGCATGGGGTACTGGGGACCTATTCTGTCCTGGAACCCCCACAGGGAGACAAGCATGGGGTACTGGGGGCACATACTGTCCTGGAACCCTACAGGGAGACAAGCATGGGGTACTGGGCACCTGGAACCCCTACAGGGGGAGACAAGCATGGGGTACTGGGGACCTGGGAACCCCTACAGAGGAGACAAGTATGGGTGCAGGGTACTGGGGACCTGGAACCCCTACAGGGAGACAAGCATGGGGTACTGGGGACCTGGAAGCCCTACAAGGGAGACAAGCATGGGGTAGACCTGGAACCCCTACAGGGAGACAAGCATGGGGTACTGGGACCTGGATTCCCTACAGGGAGACAAGCATGGGGTACTGGGGACCTGGAACCCCTACAGGGGAGACAAGCATGGGGTACTGGGGACCTGGAACCTCTACAGGAGACAAACAAGTACTGGGGGGCTACTGGGGACCTGGAACCCCTACAGGGAGACAAGCATGGGGTACTGGGGACCTGGAAGCCCTACAGGGAGACAAGCATGGGGTACTGGGGACCTGGAACCTCTACAGGGAGACAAGCATGGGGTACTGGGGACCTGGAACCCCTACAGGGAGACAAGTATGGGGTACTGGGGACCTGGAACCCCTACAGGGAGACAAGCATGGGGTACTGGGGACCTGGAACCTCCTACAGGGAGACAAGCATGGGGTACTGGGGACCTGGAACCCTACAGGGAGACAAGCATGGGGTACTGGGGACCTGGAAGCCCTGACACAGGAGACAAGCATGGGGTACTGGGGACCTGGAACCTCTACAGGGAGACAAGCATGGGGTACTGGGGACCTGGAAGCCCTACAGGGAGACAAGCATGGGGTACTGGGCACCTGGAAGCCCTACAGGGAGACAAGCATGGGGTACTGGGTACCTGGAACCTCTACAGGGAGACAAGCATGGGGTACTGGGCACCTGGAAGCCCTACAGGGAGACAAGCATGGGGTACTGGGCACCTGGAAGCCCTACAGGGAGACAAGCATGGGGTACTGGGTACCTGGAACCTCTACAGGGAGACAAGCATGGGGTACTGGGGACCTGGAACCTCTACAGGGAGACAAGCATGGAGTACTGGGGACCTGGAACCTCTACAAGGAGACAAGCATGGGGTACTGGGGACCTGGAAGCCCTACAGGGAGACAAGCATGGGGTACTGGGTACCTGGAACCTCTACAGGGAGACAAGCATGGGGTACTGGGCACCTGGAACCTCTACAGGGAGACAAGCATGGGGTACTGGGGACCTGGAACCCATACAAGGAGACAAGTACGGGGTACTGGGGACCTGGAACCACTACAGGAAGACAGGCATGGGGTATTGGGGACCTGGAACCTCTACAAGGAGACAGGCATGGGGTACTGGGCACCTGGAAGCCCTACAGGGAGACAAGCATGGGGTACTGGGGACCTGGAACCTCTACAGGGAGACAAGCATGGGGTACTGGGGACCTGGAACCTCTACAGGGAGACAAGCATGGGGTACTGGGGACCTGGAACCCCTACAGGGAGACAAGCATGGGGTACTGGGGACCTGGAACCTCTACAGGGAGACAAGCATGGGGTACTGGGGACCTGGAACCCCTACAGGGAGACAAGCATGGGGTACTGGGGACCTGGAACCCCTACAGGGAGACAAGGAAGGGGTACTGGGGACCTGGAACCTCTACAGGGAGACAGGCATGGAGTACTGGGCACCTGGAAGCCCTACATGGAGACAAGCATAGGGTACTGGGGACCTAGAAGCCCTACAGGGAGACAAGCGTGGGGTACTGGGGACCTAAAAGCACCTACAGGGAGACAAGCATGGGGTACTGGGGACCTAGAAGCCCTACAGGGAGACAAGCATGGGGTACTGGGGACCTAGAAGCCCTACATGGAGACAAGCATGGGGTACTGGGGACCTAGAAGCCCTACAGGGAGACAAGCATGGGGTACTTGGGACCTAGAAGCCCTACATGGAGACAAGTATGGGGTACTGGGGACCTAGAAGCCCTATAGACAAGCATGGGGTACTGGGACCTAGAAGCCCTACAGGGAGACAAGCATGGGGTACTGGGACCTAGAAGCCCTACAGGGAGACAAGCATGGGGTACTGGGGACCTGGAAGCCCTACATGGAGACAAGTATGGGGTACTGGCGACCTAGAAGCCCTATATGGAGACAAGTATGGGGTACTGGGGACCTAGAAGCCCTACAGGGAGACAAGCATGGGGTACTGGGACCTAGAAGCCCTACAGGGAGACAAGCATGGGGTACTGGGGACCTGGAAGCCCTACATGGAGACAAGTATGGGGTACTGGGGACCTGGAAGCCCTACAGGGAGACAAGCATGGGGTACTGGGGACCTGGAACCCCTACAGGGAGACAAGCATGGGGTACTGGGGACCTGGAAGCCCTACAAGGAGACAAGCATGGGGTACTGGGCACCTGGAAGCTCTGGGGCCTACTCAGGCCCAAAATGCCACAGGAGACAGGTATAAGCTACTGGGCCCCTAATTATTTAGACACATTTCAGTTTCTTTTTTTTTGTTTGACAGTGAATGACAATGACACCAGCCTGCTGAAGGAATACTTATTCTACTCTGTATACTGGACATGTATATGATATATATGCATGGACAGTGACTGTTTATTACCATTTTGTAACATATCTTACATCTTGGATAACGCTTTCTTAGTAAAGTGAGTGAGTGAGTTTAGTTTTATGGTGCTTTTAGCAATATTCCAGCAATATCACGGCGGGGGCACACACATTGTACCCATGTGGGGAATCTAAACCGGGTCTTCAGCCTTAGTAAAGTACAGATCCTTGTATGTTTGGGGGGTTGAGTCCCGTCCCACACTTTTGTGTGCTGACAATTAAGTGCCTTACTCTAAGAGTCCGGGTTTGAATCCCAGGTGTGAATCAACCCACAAACACTGCTAGAGTCTGTACTTCAATGACAAAGTGCAATCCCAAACATAACATATTTTGTATCTGACTGCTTTGTAAAAGGCATAGTCTATTTCATGTCTCCCTTATAAAGAAATGTCTGTTCGATATAAGCAATAAACATACGTTAACCTGATGGCTGAGGATGTCATCACAACAGCCCCCGAAGATGAGGATATCATTGTCTGAGGACAGGGCTGTTGTATGCCAGAGACGAGGGTTGTTCTGTGGGATGACTAGTTGTGTCCATTGACACACATCGACATCCAGCACCCATGCATCACCTGTCAAAAATCAGACAATCAGTAGCAGGAGTTCCCACATATACTACTCACACTTTGCTAAGGATCACAAAAATTCACAACTTTACTTAAACACAGATTTATAATTTGAAATTGTATCTATTTAAAACATGATAAAAAATAATATGGTAACCCCTCTTTAGGCAAACAGTCACTTTAATCTAACCTTATGCACTTGATACATGAGTAACCATAAATATGATTTTCATGGCACCAAGCAACCATTTTGCAAATCATTGAATGAGTCATTGACAAGTACACAACACCTGTCAATAGCAGGTATGGGATCCACAAGATGCAATGACATACTGAAACCTAGGATCCATGCTAAAAATAAGCTTACGTATTTAAACCAAATTTGAGCCCACATAATAGTTTTCTGTTGAATCCATGATTTGATCCTTAGCAAAGTGTGAATAGTATAACATGCTGGCAGAAACAAGTGAAATACTTACAATAGCCTTCAGAAATATTCTTACACATGTTTTACATTGTTTGATACTGCATTCGGGGGCCTGGAAACAATCAAGCCGGACTAGACAATCAACCGATGGATATTATTAGCAATACCCCATGGATATGCAGACAAAAATCAACTAAATCTATCTATTGAGTCACATCTTACGATTAGTAGTTAGCTTAGAACCTACTAATGACTCTACATTAGGACCAAATTAGGCTCAGCTGTCAGTTTAGCATTTGATCAGTTAACCCAGCGAGTGATTTTCAATTATATTTCAATGAAATATATACGTGAAGCCAGGAGTGAGTGAGTTTAGTTTTATGTCTCATTCAGCAATATTCAAGCTATATGGCTGCGGTCTGTAAATATTCGAGTCTGGACCAAACAATCCAGTGATCAACAACATGAGCATCGATCTATGTAATTGGGATACAAGTAGTTGTCACTAAGGTGATATAATTCCCCGCTGCAAATTATCAAATCAAACTAAAAAAGTAATGAAAGTAGTTTAAGATGGAGTTAATTGTTGACAAAACATGATCTGTCAACCTCTCTTGATATCTTGTTCTGTAGCTGTTCAATCACACAAGTATTTTCAAGACTCACTTTGACCTTGACATGAATGTCATGGGGTATGAAATATGCAAAAAATAGTAATAAAGAAATAAAAAAAACAGTCAAGAGAAGTCTTGAAAGTCTGTGAAGAAAATCCAGTGAACTGTTCTTGAGATATCTTGCTGACAATCTTAACATACTGAAATCTTCAAAGTGTTGGTGTGACCTTGAAAATTATGTTAAGGTCACCAAAATGACAGGTCCCTGAGCCTTCCCCATATGAAGCTGGGTGTCAAATATGAAGAAAATCCAGTGAATAGTTCTTGAGATATGTCGCTGACGAGTGTAAAACCAAGTCAGCGAGCCTGACCACCTGATCCCATTAGTCGCCTCTTATGACAAGCATGGGTTGCTGAAGGTCAATTCTAACGCAGACCTTCACGGGTCACTTACATAGTGGACACATCAATTTTGACCTAGAATATCAGAAAAACAAAATCAAAATAATTCACTTCTTAAATAGAGATTTTACTAACTGAGAGGCTTCTGATCCTGTGTGTATCCCCCATACAGGAAGAGGTGGTTGTGTGACACAGGGGTCAGTGTGTGCCATGATCGGCCACAAGGGATCACTGTTGAACATGTCAGCCTGGAAAAATAATATAATATTTTTATTCACAGAACCATACAACTGGCGCTCAGAGATCAAAGCAAAAGGATTTGTCTCAGTATCAGCGAGGTAATCATAGTGAAGTGAGTGAGTGAGTGAGTTTAGTTTTACACCGCACTCAGACATTTTTCAGCTATATGGCGGCGGTCCCAAATAATCGAGTCTGGACCAGACAATCCAGTAATCAACAGCATGAGCATCGATCTTTACAACTGGGATACGATGACATGTGTCAGCCATTTCAGCGAGTCCGACTACCCGATCCCGTTAGTATCCATTTATGATAAGCATGGGTTACTGAAGACCAAATGTAACCCAGATCTTCATGGGTCAGTCAGAGTGACAACAAACCAAGATTCATATTACAATTGAAGATGTGCTACAACAGATTCTTTATGTGAAGCATGAAATAAAAATATTTATTAAAAATCCAAATTGAGGTCATATGAACATCTATGATATGTCAACACATGGTGGTTCTATAGCATTTCGAGGAATGGTGTGGTCAGCTGACAGTATATATCCGACACATGGCTCACTCATTGAGGATAAAAAGTGACATACATGGCCTCAATGTGCATATTGCCTGTATTAACACAAAAATGACACTCTTCTAAATCCTTCATTTAGGAGTGAATGAGCGAGTTGGGTTTAAGACTACTATTTCAACAGTATTTCATCTGTATCATGAGTGAGTGTGTATGGTTTCACAGTTTTTAGCAATATTCCAGCAATATCATGGCGGGGGACACCAGAAATGGGCTTCGCACATTGTGCCCATGTGGGGAATCGAACCCGGGTCTTTGGTGTGACGAGCCAACACTTTAAGCACTAGGCTACCAAACCGCCCCTTATCTGTATCATGAAGTGGCAGCCATAGTGAATACCATACTTTCAGGTGTATAGTGCACATTTAAAAAAGACAATTAATGTAGAGCGAGGTACATCTTCTGAATGAGTGAATAATGTAATTTTCTGAATAAAATTGATATTTTATACTTATCCTGACTCATGCTTAATGCTTGTCTCCTTCCTCTTGAGAACGTTAGTGGAACACTTGTATCTCCTATTGAAGCTCCCTTCAATAAAGAACAGACGTAAAATCACTCCTCCCAAGAGTTATCTCTCCAGCTGTTTAGGCGGGAAACTGTGGCGCCACCGTCCCCACATGCTTCACTCTCTCCTGATTATGAGCCCGACACTTGAATTTGCAGGGAAATCCAAAGTGTCTAGTGGGGAGGCTGGGTGGGCTTACCTCATGAGTCAGGATAAGTATAAAATATCAATTTTATTCAGAAAATTACATATTTTTCCTTATCCTGACTCATGCTTAATGCTTTGTAGAATCCGGACGGAAAAGGCGGGGCAAGTTACTTTGGATTTCATGTAGTGATTTACGTCTCTATACCCCCCTATGGGAACTTCGTGTTGGCACTGTATTTAACTGCTAATCTCTGCTGCTGCTGTGACCCTGTCCTTCCAGCTGCCTTTAGATGGGGGGACCACAATAGTTAACTTTTGGTCCTTTCTTCTGTTAACATTTTATGTGGATTTTGCGACTCCATCTCTTGATGCAAGCACCAAGTGGAGTAGCGACCCATTCCTGTACAAGTAACCGTACAAGTACTGGGTCATATTACTTATGCTAGTCTGTCCTAGACGTGCATATAGACTTAAGCAAAACTCTCCGGAGTGTAGGCTTTGTAAGTCATGTGATAAAAGGCTGAGACTCGTCTCAAGCGCCTTTATTGGGACTGTCAATTGTTGTGCTACAACAAGTGGGCCGAAATGGTGAATGCCAGAGCCGTCCTCAGTGGCGATGTCCGTCAGGTAGTGGTTGGCAAACATCCTGTCCCATTTCCAGAAGCAGCCCTCCATTATCGTACTGATAGAGCGATTCCCATGTAGAGCGAGCGTTGACACCAGAGCTCTAACTTCATGTGGGTTGGAGACTCTTGGAGGATCAAGTCCCGCTGCTTTGTAGGCCCGTAGTATGACAGTTCTGATCCAGCTTGATATCTTAGTGCGGCAGACCTCCGTCTGTGTCGCTGTCTATATCGAGACGAAAAGACACTTGAATTTCCGTCTCCTGGACCTGGAACTTTGTTGGTAGACTTTCAATGCTCTCACTGGGTACAAGGATAGGACCTGCGTATCCTGTGGTCCAAGGACTGATGATAGTGTTGGGACGTGGAACTGTCTGTCTGGATGACCTGGCAGTTGATTCTTTGCTATGAAGTCCCATCTCAGGCCCATATGCACGATGTTTTGATTTTCATCAAATCGTGTTCCCTCGAAGTTCAGAGCATGTATTTCCGACATCCTTGCTGCTGTTACTAAGGTTATCAGGAACAGCGTCTTCTGCGTCAAGAACTCGAATGATGTTCTCTATAATGGTTTCACATCTCTGATGTTGGTCCTCCAATTAAAAGGGCGTAGTAAGGCCAGTAACTCTGGTACTTTTGTCAGTTGCACTCGTCCTCATGGCGATAACTGAGCTCAATGCCGCTAGGTATGTTGAGAGTGTCGACCCTTTTAACCGCTTCCTTTGTCTAGGTGACAAAGGTAGTCCGCCACTTGAGGATGTGTCACTATCATGGCTGTGAAGTCAATCCTCGAAACGTATCATTTGTCTCGAAGCGTCAGCACTTGTCTGTCAGACAAGTTGCGTGAAGACTTAGGTAAAGCTAGTGTGACTGCTTTCGCTGATAAAGATTACAGCTAAAGCTGGAAGTACATGTTGTTGTGCAGCTAGGGCACAGTCAATGTGGGTTTGCAGCAGCGAACCTAAATCTACAACGAAAATAGGTTTTCATGAAGTGTAAACAACTGAACAAACACTGACAATTCCATGAATAAACAGTGCTAAATACGATTAAATATCAAACCATAATGTTGAAGGATACTAACTAAACCTCTATAAAAGTAGAATAGAGGAGAATAACTAAATAATTAAAGGATATAGTGCCGTATAGGAGACACATGCCTCTCACAACCTGCCCACAGGGCAAAGAAGGAGAGAGTGAAGCATGTGGGGACGGTGGCGCCACAGTTTCCCGCCTAAACAGCTGGGGAGATAACTCTTGGGAGGAGTGATTTTACGTCTGTTCTTTATTGAAGGGAGCTTCAATAGGAGATACAGGTGTTCCACTAACGTTCGCAAGAGGAAGGAGACAAGCATTAAGCATGAGTCAGGGTAAGGAAAAATAGTTGGGTTTAAATGCTGGGTTTTACAATATTCCTATCATAACCCAACCTGTCAGCTTAAAGAGTGAAGACAATTTTCTGGAAGAAAGAGTTAGTGTGAAAGTAATAACACAGTGGGATAGACCACATAAAAATTGCACTATACTCAAGGGTCTGTCTCCTAGACCCAAAGAGTGAGTGAGGTGGGTTTTACACCGCGTTAAGCAATATTCCAGCAATATCACAGCGGGGGACATCAGAAATGGGATTCACACACTGTACTCATGTGGGGAATCGAAACCCGGCGCTGATGCTTTAACAAATTGACTACCCCGCCGACCCTAGAAGAAATTAATACTGTTCCTCCTACTTTTATCATTCTGAAACTTACTCTCCACTCCAGGTCAAGCTTGAAAGGTCAAGACAGTGAAGGTCATTCATCCTTGCAGTAAGATGTCGTCCTCCGAACAAGTAGACCTTATCCCCCAGTTGAGCTACCCCATGTGCAGCTCGAGGCAGAGGGACTGGACCCTGGGTATCAGAAATACTAGAGCGTTATATTTCCCTGTCCACTTATATAAATAACCCAATAAATATGTTTAAGAGTGTTCATTTGAAAATAATTATTACGGTAAACTGAATAACTGATTTATGGTCACATCTCAATAGCTGAAATTCTCTTGAAACACAATAAAAATAATCACCATAAACAATTAATCAAAACCATTACAATGAGCATGAATATGTGGATATCAAATTGCTGACTTTTAAGTAAAGGCACTCCCTCCCTTCATGTCTAAAACAAATATTTGTATAGGAAGATAAACACATTTTAACAAGAAAGTAATCCTCTTAAACACAATTGTTATAAAGACAGTTTTACAATTTCATAAGTTCTGATAGGACATTATCCATTTTCATCACCTAACCAACTTTGCAAAGTATTGTTAGGTCATTCTGGAGACAATCTATATGACCTAGACAATGAACTGATTTGAAACACTGGAATAATTGTTTAGAATGACAGAGGGTGTAAGTTTTATTTTCCAGATAAGCAAAGTGGACATACCCTGCACTTGGGATTCGACCATTCATCAGTGGCGTGTCCAATATCAGTAGCTGATTGTTCCAACCTCGATCAGGGAAAAAACGCTACAAACAGAAGTAAAATCATGTAAAGCCACAGCAGTATATGAGAAGTAGAATCAGGTATAGCCAGGTAAGTATATGAGATGTAGAATCAAGAATAGCCACGTCAGTATATGAGAAGTAAAATCAGGTATAGCCACATCAGTATATGAGATGTTGAATCAGGTAAAGCCATGTCAGTATATGAGACATAGAATCAGGTATAGCTACATCAGTATGTGAGATGTCGAATCAGGTATAACCATGTCAGTATATGAGATGTAGAATCAGGTATAGCCACGTCAGTATATGAGACATAGAATCAGGTATAGCTACATCAGTATGTGAGATGTCGAATCAGGTATTACCATGTCAGTATATGAGATGTAGAATCAGGTATAGCCACGTTAGTATATGAGACATAGAATCAGGTGTAGCTACATCAGTATGTGAGATGTCGAATCAGGTATAACCATGTCATCAGTATATGAGACAGCAGAATCACCTATAGCCATGTCAGTATATATGTAGAAGCAGAATCATAGAATCAGGTATAGCCATGATCAGTATATGAGGTAGAGCCATGTTATCAGAGAAGAATCATGTATAGCCAGATCAGTATATGAGATGTAGAATCAGGTCATGTTAGTAGATGATGATTCATGAGTGAGTGAGTGAGTGAGTATGGTTTTACCCTGCCTTTAGCAACATCCAGCAAAATGATGGCAGGGAACACCAGAAATGGGCTTCCCACATTGTATCCATGTAGGGAATCGAACCAGGATCTTTGGCGTGAGACGAGCGAACACTTTAACCACTAGGCTACCCCCACCCCCTGATGACTCATGATGAGTGAATGCTGTGTAATGCTGTGTATTGCTGCAATATCAGACAGCAGCTGGACCAGAAAATCCAGTGATATTATCTCAACATTCCATGTGGTCAAGTTGTCTGTTGACAACCAAACAGACAAGTCGGTAAGACTTCCGCCCGTATCCCCCCTAAATTTTAACAATGAGGAAACTTTCTTGGAGTGGCAGTTTTAGAAGTAGAATATGCCTTTCAGTATGTTCAGATACAATTAACGAAACATGTTAAAACTCATCCTTCTCAGATGAGAAACATATATTCAGGTGATATGATTTGACTAAAATGAAATTTAAGGGGGGATACGAGCGGAAGTCTTTCCAACAAGTCACCAAGAGGGTCAGATTTACCTTTAGTTCAGTCAGTTTTGAAAATGAAAACTTATCACATATACAAACACAGAATATCACTCTTCCATGCCAGTCTCTAGTAAACATCTTGGTGCTATTCAAGAACTGATGTAACTATAATTTATGGTCTACCCAATATTGTGTCTAAAAGACTTACTGGAACATTCAAGTCTCCCGAAGTGTCTGCCACAAAGTCTCCATTCTCACATAGGTATTCCTGAATCGGAAGTCCAAATCCTCCAAAACAGTAGATTCTGTAACCAAAGTGCATTTTCAATAACCAATATATAGTACTTAGAAACTAAAGAAAAGACTGGAGTATTCAGTATCTTTAAAAGAAAAAACAGCAAAGGCAGCTTGCAAAATACCAAGTTGATGTCTAACCAAAATAGGTCAACCATATCCCCTGCAATGGTGAATAAATATGTGAAACTTGTTGCCACTGAAATTCAAACAATATTTGCTACAACAAATTTCAAAGTATGAAAAGTCACAAGTGCAGCACTTGATCTATCTATGTGCCAAATATGGTGAAGAAAATGTTGGACATTTTTCAGGGTTCTCCAGAAATTACCACAACTGGTACCCCCATTTCCCGTCTAAGCCAAAGTTGTCACCATGGATCTTAAAAAATATATGTAAAAATATCACAAGCAACCAAAAAGCACCAGCCCAACACCAGACCTATCTGTGTACCAAGACTGGTGAAGATATATTTCGGGTTTTCGAGATCTGCTTCTAAAATGGCCTCTTGCACAGATGGATGCACTGACAGTGTCCATTTGAAATACAATCCCACTATGTTCAAACATCCTTGACTTGCAGTTTTAACAAGACTGTTCATCTGAGACTTGATTTTTTGTTCTTTTTTAAACAAACCATACATCAACTTTGACATCTTTCCTTCTATAACATTCTTTCTTTTAGCTGTTGGCCCACTGGTATGGAAAAGCCACCTAAGAACTTACACAGGTCTGGGCTAAAATGTTACCTTTTCTCATGTGTCCACAAAGCAAACTTGTCTCTAGGGCTTGGTGCCCGCTCTGTGGCAGGTAACTTGCTCCAGGTCATCGTCTGCAGGTTCAGCTTGTATACCTTGTTGGTGTTGCCAAAGTCAGTGTGACCAAACACCACGTAAAAGAAGCCGTCAAGGACACAACAGCAGGCGCCGGACGTCCCTGGAGGGCGTGTCCCGTGGGTGGTGTTGCAGGTCCTGAAGAACAAGGCACATGAATGGAGCTGGACTGAAAGTTGCTTTGAGGAGAATTTTGGTGATATCACAGCAATTCAGCTTCATGTAAAAAGAAAGAATAAAGCAACCATTCTTAAACATTTATCAGTACCATAATGATACAAACAAAAATAGCTATCACAAAAGATATGGAGCGTCTCAGATCAGTTCATTTTTCCAAGACACTGACTGATTGTCATAAAAATTCCTGAGATTTCCTTTTTTTCTAGGCTAGTACATTCTCTTCCCACAGAGGTTACTTGTCATATCTTCCTATGAATCTCTGTTCTAATACGGCCATATTTCCCGGTTCTCGTAAAATCCACAAGCGACAAAATAATCGCAACCCGAATTATCTCCCTTCTTTCTATCCAATCAGAGCATGTGTTGCATCGACTTAGATCTAGCTTGACCAATACAAGCAAATGTGGGGCCACAAATATCCCCCCTCTGCCGGGGACTTGTGTTGATGTGACACACAAGGCATTTAATGGCTAGCTTGTCCTTTGTCAACGAGGGCGATGGAGACGCCATTGATCCGCCATATGACTGAGTTTGTCCAGAAAACGTTCACAAAAATCAGGGGAAGAGGTTCTAGTTTTCCCGAAACATACAGAAATTAATCAGCATATGATCACTTTTGAAACAAGTATTGATCAGAACTAGATCTGATTGCAAAGTAATCAGAATAGAACACTCGCACCATTGAAAGGTAAAACATGTTTAGAACTGAGGTCAGCATAAAAAGATTGCAAAGTATTTATCAGTGGGAAACACATTGCAAACTGATGATCAGAATAAAACATGTTGCAAAATACTGATCAGCATAAAACAATGCAAAATATTGATCAGCATAAACACATTGCAAAGTATTGATCAGCAAAGTATTGATCAGAATAAAACATGTTGCAAAAATACTGATCAGCATGAGACACATTGTAAAAGACTTGGCAATCGAGTTCAGAGCTAATGACAAAACTGTAACAATCCATGATCAAAAACATGATTATTTATGACACGTTATGGGAGTGGAAGGATTACCATTTTGGAGTTTAACATGCAACAACATCGGAGGAAAGAAACAGAGCATTATAAACATCACTGTTGTGAACTTTTTAACATTTGATCATGAATATTTTGTTAATTTGAGGGACAGGCAGATGCAAGGTACTTATACACCTGCAGAAATCACTTAGGTACACACACACAAATATATTGTGTGAGCTTTATGAAATATATATACAAAATATGTTATATTGTGATTGAATTTACTATATATCACACTCTGTTTTAATTGGTTTGTTCATTATAGGTGTAGAACATCACGGACTAGAGTAATTTGGCTTCAGTGACAGTGAATTAACTTTCGAGGGTCAGTGATTGAATTAATTAGGGTCAAGCGCTTCACTTGGTAATGCAGAGAACACACACGTTGCATACAAGTGACAGAAATCTGTCTTGAGCAGACACGTTACGTCTGTGTGATGACAACAGATTCAAAGTTGCTGAAGACTTTCCTGCATTTTATCTTGACCTATATTGATACAGAAACGTTAAACAGGTTCAAGCTGGCAAAACATATTCCGTTTGAGCTTTTTGTTGTCGGACACAATGTTATTTTGTTCTTGTGGCAATGAAGTTGAGATTCAAACACTGCTAAAAAGATGCCAAACTTGACTGACTGACTAACTGACTGAGTTTGGTTTTACGCCGCTTTTAGCAATATTCCAGCAATATCACGGCGGGGGACACCAGAAATGGGCTTCACACATTGTACCCATGTGGGGATTCGAACCCGGGTCTTCGGGGTGACGAGCTAACGCATTAACCACTAGGCTACCCCACCGCCCTCAAACTTGAATATACGAAACTAAAGACATGATTATTTCATCAAAATATGAGCAAGACATAACATTTGAGACTGTAACCATGGTAACCAGCGGTAACCCAATTTAAACTTACCATTTATCAAAGTCCATGCTGTAACACCAGAGATCATTTGACGGCAGGTACCGATCTTCATAGGTATTTTCATCCTTTGTAAGGAAAATATATTTAATTATGCATCCATTCAAAATAATTTAGAACAATTTTCCTTTGAGTAAAAATATCCACCAAATAATCAATAGACTTTTGGGCTGGACCTGCCTCACCTAATCTCATATCTGTCAGTCAAGCTGTCCACATTGCAAATAATATAACAGCAAAACTATCATGGCATGTCTCTGATCATTTAACCATATAATAGTTGTACTTATGTATCTAGAGTTTGTACAAAACACTCAAAACAGTGAATGTTTGTATCTCGCACAGAGTCAAGTAGTCTGAACATTAGGCAGTTTTGGTATGTTTCAAAACACAAATAGGAAGTCCCCATACTCAAAAGAATTTATCATCAGTGGCAAGGGCAATGGTAAAGGTATTAGTAATTTGACATGTTCACAACAACCAAAGCATGTTTTAATCAGCTTATATAGAACTTGCTAAGTAGCTTACAGCTTAGTTTCATATCCTGTTAGTGACATGTCACAACAACTGTTTTTATTCTACTCAGTCATAATCCCTTGTTAAATGTTTGTCATAGACACGTGATTCAGTTACAGTCTGCAACTGTGGACAGAACCAGTCATACTGGATTCATCTGGATAGGCAAACATTAATAAATAATTTTTAAGGAGAAATAACCTCTAACAAATTAAGTTACATTTGCAGTTATCATCAGTACTGGAATTCATTTGCTTTGGGAAATATGAATAAATAAATTTAAGGAGAAATAACCTCCAACAAATGATTCTGTTAAATCCTATAACAGTGGAGGGTACAGGTCATACTGGGTTCATCTGGACTGACAAATATTTATAAATCATTTTTAAATAGAAACAGTCTCTACACACGTCTACATTCCAAACAATGTTCACAAAACATTATTTGGCAATATTATCCCCTGGATAACAAGGTGTACTGCACCAAACGTTAACTTTAGAGCCTGTTATAACAGCGAATGTTATTTTATGTGAATGAGCTTCGTACAAGCCATTTGTTGCCTGTATGAAGTAATATTGTACTACGGGCCGATGGCCTACATGCACCAGAATAAAGAGATTGATAAGTTCTTTCACATAACCACTTGGCTGAAGATAGAGTCCTGTATAAATCTGTTTGGTCTAGTAAGTTCAGCTTACCAATGCAAACAATGTGGTTCAGGGACTGTAAGACAGACTAAACCTTTCACTACATGTCATTTTGTAAGTTGACTAGTCCTGATAGTTACATGTTTTAGGATTCCGTCCTGTTCAAGACCCATACTAGTAACGTCAGTGTAATGACAAAATGTTTCACCTGATATCCTCCCCAAACAAGCAGCTTCATATCCACACAGGCTGCAACATGGCCACTTCGTGGTGGAATCTCTTCTTGAGAAGGGATACGATGCACTTGATCTGTGCGGCGTCCCAGAGCTGGAGGCAATGAGGTCAAACCGTTATGAGAAACACCTCTAATCATAAATATCGTTGACACACACACCTACTTATGTTTGAAACAACAAAATTTGTTACTTCTCCCCAAATGGTAAAGAATGTTCAGTACACTGTACACAAGTTTCAAATCCTTTGCCAGTTTTGTTGTGAGTGTAACATTTATATTACATCTGAACAGTTATTTAAATATGTTACACCATGTTTCAAGAAACAGTGTAAACAATGCATAATGGAATTCAGCTGTAACTCAATGCTTGTTAACAGTTATGATGTTCCCACACAATAAGCATGACACGGAAATATGTGCCTTTTACATACTGGGATGTTGCTATTGTTGTGAGAACATGCGTGTATATTGTAACAAATCAAAAGGTTTGAGAGGGGATAGGATAGGCTTTGATGAAATCTGTGGTGTAGCCATGTGTTGATGCATAGATCAAAATAGAAACTCATAACCAGTGACATAACTGATGTTGACTCATAAGGAAGACAACCGTTGATACTGGCAACAGGAAGATTTTTTCATATGCTTGTGCAACACGTAAAATATGTATTCACAAGGATTTTGTGAACAAATTAACACTACTTTACATGTCTGTTACTACCTACGAGTATGATCTAATCACTACACATAAAATGATATCATTGAGAAATATTAAATGACAAAAAAAAGAAATGCATGAATAGTCTGATATTGTTTCACAAAAAAGTAAACGCTACTTTCCCCCACCCAATAAATCCCGGTACAGATGGATTTTAACCATGTTCAAACACAGTTTTATAAAATGCAGCCTCACTAACCCCTCCCCAACCCCTGGAACCCGTAGAGATGAAAACGATGAATCATTTTTCATGGTCATGATTTTGACAATCCTACCAAGCATGCGTCTCACTAATCTAGGAATGTATACCTTGCATGGTATATAGCACGAATGTCTATCTCAGTAAGGCTGTCAGCAAAACAAAAGCTGATTCATTCAAGCAATCCCACTGTCATTCACTGACGTCGAATAACACAACCAGTGACCACTGAATCAGTATTTGCGGTTGTGTTTGAGTCCAGCTGTGTGATCGCGTGAACCGCTGCATGTGGTGGAAGAAGCGTACAACCACATACTTCTGGTATTTTTTCGAAGCAGACACTACTATATCTCCATGTTTCTGAGAAAAGGCGAAAATGGAACAAAACAAACAACAAGAGTATTTTCCCGTCGGGCAGAAATCAAACGTATATGAGAGTTACCTGCCCCTGAAATGTGCGCCCTCTATCCATCACGAAAACAAGTGGCATGTTTTCGGGTGTTCTAATTTGATTGATGGGGTCTGAAGTACCTTTGGTTTTCCTTCATCTTGGCGACACAATTTGATGTAAATGAAACACACTAACATGTACCACATGTTATATCAATGCAAATACTTTCTAATTCAACGGAATAATATATAATCTCTCAGTCATACAGAGTTACCTACCTTGAGTGTTGTCTGCTAGAAAATGAATTGTCGGGTTGCTTTCCATTTTCTCTGTGAAAACAGCCTAACATGCACATTATATCGACACATATCTCTTGCTAACCTACAACAGTACAGGACGAACGCGACTCAAACTACAAGACAGGTCAGTATAACAGTTGTTTCACGAAATTTTCAAATGTTTCCCGAATTATATTCTCCATAGTTGCATTTCAACTACTTGTTTACATCATGTATTTTAACCCGTCCATTCACGTTTAAGTGCTTTTTTCGCCAGTATTATGGTATTCAGAAAGCAATATACATGTTAAGAAATTCATGTGAAGCTGATTGTCAGCATTTTTATCCAAAGAACCCAAGGGCAAATAGCTGGGGAATAAGTCTGTGGTTGTTCATTCCCCGAATTACTCAACTAAATTATTTACTTCAATGTGAAAAAATGAAATATAAACATGATGAAATGGTCATTAAACGTCAACAGTGTTTACTAACCTTGATTGTTGTTTCTGTATGGAAAACTGAATGATTTGATGTTCATCTCTAAACTACTTTTTCATGCAACACTCTTAAGCACAATGTTTAATGTGCAATCCTTGCAAACTATCCCCTGAAAATGTTCCAAATCCAAAATAAAGAGCACTTTTAAAGTTTCTGTAAATGCTAATCATGCCCCGATCAGCACAATGTCAAAAGGCCCATCACAGTAGGAAGTGTATCCGTGTATGACCTGAACAGTTAGCAGTTGTGTTTTATCTGTGTAGCTTTGTACAGCAAAGCATGATTTGTGAAAACTACATGACAAGAAAATGTAAACTAAGCCTGACCTCAAGTCAGTGGGTAGTGGATTTCCATCTTTTCCTGGTGAGATACTGCATCTTGCCTGTGGTGGCATCACATGTGCATTACTGTAATAGTGTCTTCTGGTAGACCTGTCTTTTCTGTATGATGCAACTTTAAGTAAATTATTTGCCTTTGCAGTAGTGCATTTTGCTTTGAAATATGTGTTTCTCTTCTACTGGTTGTAATTTGTACATATAGTGAAATACCTATTTAATTGTCAGTATAAATTCAATGAGGAATACTAGCATGCACATTTTATGCCTCAAGTCATTTTTGTTTGGAAGTGTTGAATAATTTATTTTACCATCATTTGAATAAAACATTATCTTAAGAGTTATTATTACTCAATTTACTGTTATATTATCATCAGTGTTAGTTTTACTTATCTAGAACCAACACAATCCAAAACCAAATACACAACCTCCTGAGAGTAGTACGAATGACTGGGTTGGTCCGCCTCATTCAGTGTCAAACCTCCGTCCAGTCAAGTACTACATTCCTCCCAATGAAACTCCACTTGAGAAGAATTATAGAGAGCGCAGGCAGGAAGTGTGGAAATGGAACCAGGAATTCTGGGAGAAGCACAACAAGTCGTTTGTACAAGTGAGTTAACTTCTTGTTGAGTAATTTCTTTCTATCTTATGCTAAATATATATATTCAATTCAATCACAATCTGCAACTTTAACCACAATTTAGTTTGATTGGCAAGTTCAGCTACTGATAGTCTATATGATAATACTTAAAGGTCACATGCAACCAAAAAATCAAACATAATTAAAACACAATTATCACTTATTCATGACATATAATATACATTGCTGGTTATGAAAAAACATATAAACAAAATTATAAGCGTACAATCGCAAATCAAAAGTGCAATATTGTGTACTTGGGTTTACTTCCCAAGAAACGAAGCAGCCGGGATACCGAACCCAGTCAGAGCGGGTGTGTGTGCACTCAAGTGTAATGGCTGGTTCATTTGCAGAAGCCCTCACGGCTCATTGTGTGTGTATATATAGAGATGTTGGGTTTTGTAAATACATGCTCATTTTTTGTGTATAACATTTTGCAATCAACAGACATCATAACATGTCATGTGTACAAGTATCACACCTGACTGTCTGTGTAATTACATAATGTGACAGAGACCGAACTCGGGCCATAAATCAATGCATTTTGTTTGTGGTGTATAGCCGGTGTCCTCCCATTCGTTGGTTTCACATTAATTTTTCGACTCGCTGTGCGCATGCGCAGAGCGTGTAAAAATATCCTCAGGCCAACTTCCAGTTTGGTCGTAAGCTTTACCGATAGTGTAAACGCACTCTAAAGAAAGCAAAAATCAAAACAAATATATGGTTTTATGTCAAATTTAACTAATCTCAATTCATTTATGAATGGAAGGGACCGGAATCAGTTAAATAAATAGCTTAACGTTTGTTAACAAGCTCTTGTATAAACACATCTCACCACCACCCGTCCACCGTCCTTCCTGCACATCCCCTTCTCACAAGTAAAAAAACACATCTCTGATGCAATGCCAATTGACAATTATTGAAAAGCATAGGCAAATGGATGTATGTACTCAACTATGAACAGTTGTCACGCGTAAATAATATTCATTCAGCATTTATTTAGAGTGTGTTTACAATATTGCTAATACGACCAAACCGGAAGTTGACCAGTGGATATTTTTACACGCTCTACGCATGCGCACAGCGAGTCGAAAATTAATGTGAAACCAACGAATTTGTGAGAACTCCCAGTTGTGAGACACATTAATTAATGGTTCAGTGCACATAGGTGGTGTTTCCACATCCCTACAATGAAAGTAGGATCAGCCCAGTTGTTGAAGAGTACCCACAGGCGCAGATGAAATAGTTCATTAAATACTTTGTTTATTCAGAAGAATATGTATTTATGATAATACATTTTTATTGACTATTTCTGAAGTTTGAAAGTCATTTTGGTTTAAACATATTTTATTATTATTTATGAAAATGAATTGGGATTGGTGAACAAGCATTACTGCTTATGTTAACACCGCTCCCATGCAACATAATTTACAAAATGAAATGAAGGATATGACGTCATCGATATTGACTATTGCATAAATATATTTTTAAGTACATATTAATATATATACAGATTACATCAAATACAACTATTCCCTAAGTAGTCACAATTATAGAGTTTCGGTTGTGTGTGTCTAACAAGCTATTGTAGGAATATGGTCATTAGCAGACTGGCAGGCAGACACATAGGTGTCAATAAAACAGACATTGAGTTTTGTCTGTGACAACGACATATCTATATCACAGTTAGAAATTCTGTCAACGCTAAATAATGACATTGCTTTTAAGTATCGAACTGAGAAAGTGACTCGGTAAGAAGAACGTGTTGTGAAATAGACAAATGAAATTATATAAACAGTTAATCTACGGTCATAACATATCAAAAGCTCGCGCCTGTGAAATATCAACAAAACATTAGAAAAATAGCTCACACCAAAGCCTTCATCGAGTATTCACCGGACAACCCGCTTCCAAGCTGCGCAAACCTATTTCACTGTGCACATGCTATGAGCGCAGCCCAGCTGTTGAAACCACTTGAATTCCCCCAAGCGCTGGGGGAAAATTAGTGAACCGTTTGAACTACGATTTCGTGCGGTTTTTTTCATCGTGTTATTTTTCAACTTTATAAGTTGAATTTGCATTTTTTGATGATTTGATTCGGTAAGTCCATACCGAAAGGTATCAGAATCTGCAAAGTTGTGTTTTACGTTGCATGTGACCTTTAAGTCTGTCAGAAATGATACTGAGAACCGTGTTTGGGCAAAGAGACTTCAAAGCTTTTGGCCAAAACTGCTATCCATTCTCTAATAGTATGGACAGTGTATTAGTAATAATGCTAACAGGAGATATTGCCTGAAACGTAACCATCTGATGAGAGTTGTATTTGTTGATTCAGTGTCCCTGTACTTTAAAAAGCTTTTTTAGCAGTCATAACCAGGTGTGCTGTTTGATTTTAATGAATGGTATCCTTTGAAATTTCTTTAATTGTATCCCAAATGCAACTGTTTCTTGAGATAGTTACATACTGAAGGCATCAGTTTCATCTCTCTTTTTAGGAAAAGGAGGAGTATGTGCAATCAAGATTAGCTGATAAAAGAGCATCATTTAAAGGGGAAGGTGAGCCCCCTCAGACCCTGTCAGCTGATGAGATGTCCATCTTCTACAAGCGCTTCCTCAATGACAACTATAAGGGTCACATTTGGTATAACAAGTAAGTAGTTCTTTGAGTGAAACCTACTGGAGACCATTTTAGACTGGTTTAAATATAGCATATTGTTATATTTTACTTTCTCAGTAAAGAACAGATTCCCAGTACTAGGAGATCCAGGGTTTGACAAGTGGTCATCAATATCATGAACCCTGAAAAGTGTAAATTGGCATTGCTGAAGCTATGAGTAAACAATGCCTTTTAGAAAGTTGTCAAATGCAACATGTTATATTTGGGATTACACTTTCTCAATAAAATACAAATTCTTGTACTGGGCTGAATCCCATCTGGGATTCAAAACCATTTAAATAGATCTTTTTAATGACCTGCCAGCAGACAGTAAAGTAGCTCAGCACTTAAAGCATTAATTTGACAGGCTGAGAACCCTGGTCCAATTATTATGTGGGTATGTGTGAAGCCCATTTCTGTTGTCTGTTGATATTGCTGGAATATTGGTAAAAGTGGTGTAAAAACATAACTCTCCCACCCAAAACATTTATCTATATATTTAAGCACAGTAATATGTTTAAGAAAGAAAGTTTTCAACTTCTTGGAGTTGCACTGGATTCTGACATGTTATCATATGCCATCAGAGGGTATCAGATATACAGGGGATCCTGTCATGACCTTTTTCTTAATGCTGCAGGAGCAAGCTAGAAAGTCTGTTTGTAGTAGTTTGTTACCTACTACAGATATAACATAGTTAATCAAATACTCATTCTCCTGTCAGGTATGTAAAGGTTCAAAGAAAAAACAACATATATTGTAACTGGTATTATCTATACACCCACTAACACTAACAGAGTGGTGGCATATGTACTCCAGTACATGGTTTGGTAGGCAGTCTGTTTTACCTTAAGTCATGGCAATGCATAGTACAAGTGGTAAATAATTTTCAATAAACTGACTGAAAATTAAGATACTGGTGTGTGATAATGAGGCCTGAAAGCACACATTTCAATCATGTTTTTCGAGAGTCATGTTGCCATGAGTTTCCAGTAAGTTGTTATTTCATATCAAAAGTCTGAATCCAGTACGATTTTCAAAATGTTTTGGTGTAGTTTTTCAAAATTGTCAAATTATAACACTCTTGTTAATCGTTTGTCCTTTCCACAGCTATATACATGTATCTGTCCTTTGACCACTTTACTGCCATGATATTGCTGGAATATTGCTAAAAGCTGTGTAAAACTAAACTCACTCACTCATTGACCACTTTACTTTAACACACAAAATGTCTTACTTTTCAGGGAATGGTACAAGAAAAACATTTCACTTTTGTGGCCAGCTTTGCAAGTCAGCTTATCAAGATTCATGACAAGGTTAAAAAGATCCTGATGCAGATATAAGTTCATTGAAAAGACGGGAAAATAAGTCATTGTACATAATCACCAGTGTTTGGTTGCCTGGAAGTAGAACCTAATTAATTGTGATGTGTAAGAAGACGGTTTTCTGTAACAAGCAGGAAGCATCTTCCAGAGTTGATTTGTTCCGTGAATGGTTTGATGTCCTGCACCCTCCATATTACTTCCATCCCACTTGAGAAGACGAAGAGACCAGTTTAATCAAGATCTAACACGTACTACAGTCGGTTTGAGTCAGAAACGGACCGATGAATTGCAAATTTTATCATTGTACAAAATTGCCACATAAATATAAATAGTACACAGTGGACTGTCCCTTTCTCTGCACTCCTCCCTCGTAACAAATAGTGAACTGTGTCAAAATTTTAATGATAGTTTCTTAAAGAACTTTTTTGGTGGAGTCCGGAAAATTTTCAAATATAAGAAAGCTGTTGGGTATTAGTAAATGATAAACATGTGTACTATTTATATTTATGTGGCAATTTTGTACAATGATAAAATTTGCAATTCATCGGTCCGTTTCTGGCTCAAACGGACTGTAGGTACTGATGAAAGTACCATGATAACTAGTTTTGTAAATAAAGTAATATTTTGTATTGCAAACTTGTTTTTGATGGCATAGTTACTTCAGCAGTACCTGTCATATTTTGTGTTCCATGTTTCCATGAGTTGTACTTGACCTTGTATTATCCTTGGTGACATCACAACTGTGACATTCTTGAGTTGTGTTTATATTGCAGTTACAGTTACACATATTGACAGGGGTCACCAGTATGGTGATGACGAACCAAAGGACTATTACAAGGTCAAATCTGGGATAGAAGCCATGATCAAAGGATTCCAATTATGGCAGAAAAGATTTCTTTAAATGAGCTTCTTGCAAAGTGGAAAAATATGCTAACCGAAAACATTTCATCACAAAAGATATTCTAACTGTATGTTCACTGAATCATATACCCGTGAAGGTCCAAGTTAGAATATTGATCTTCAGTAACCCATGCTTGTCGTAAGAGGCAACTGATGGGATCGGGTGGTCAGGCTCGCTGACTTGGTTAACACATATCATCGGTTCCCAATTGCGCAGATCGATGCTCATGCTGTTGATCACTGGATTGTCTGGTCCAGACTCAATTATTTACAGACTGCCACCATATTGCTGGAATTTTGCTGAGTGTGGCGTAAAACTAAACTCACTCACTGAATCATACACAGGTAAATCAATGGCTGTGATGCATGCAGAAATGAACATTCAGTGGGGAAACACATATGTAATGCTGTCTTGACCTGTGAATACTTTGTGTGGTCTTGAGAGAGATGTTGCTGGTCAGAAAAGTTAAAATAATTTCAGGAATTCATTTCAAAGATAAGGCAGGGTGGTCCTGAAGGTCAAAAGCAATCTGTAGAATTGCGACCCTGCCAGGATTTGCTGATCCTAGATTTGACAAGATTGTGTGTCCTGGTCTGTAAAAACTGCACCAAACTCATTTTGTCAAAAAACTATCTGTGAAGACATAAAAAATGAAACCACATGAATACATGTTCATAGTTTTTTTAATGGAATGAATACATCAAACAAGCTGGTAACCTTTCACACCTTGCTACAATTCTACAGAAAACAATTTTATATCACATTAGGTGAACAACACGTGTCAAAGGAATGCTTGCATATGCTGAAGGAAATACTTATATGATTGCAAAAACTCAACATTTCACTCGGTATATCTGCTTATGACAGAACTACTGTAACGCAAATAAGAACGAATACTGAAAAAGAATTTGCTTTTTTTTCAAATGATAATCTTTAACATCTTGTCACTTGATAAAGATGACTTGTCGACTTGTTACTGCATGGCTCATGAACTATAAAACACAGGTGAGATCAGAATGTTAATTGACCAGATAATGCTGTCAGTACAAGTCGCTGAAACACTTCATGACCACTTGATGAATCCTTGTAGTTTAAAGCATGGGTGACCATGGTTATTAACTGGATGATTGCAAAGAGTTACCTCCCTTTGTCACACCAGGATAATGCTTGGTTTGTCCTGATTTGGATACTTGGTCTGTCGGGACAATACCAGTCTTGTGAGTGAAGTTCCAGTGAAATATTTTATGACATATGTCACTTCTGACTTTATCTTAAGCAACATTAAAACCAACTCACTCACTAAACAATGCATACATACTCATGTATCACTCTGACAACATTTATATCACATCATTTCTTGGTAAATCCCAGTAGTTTCAAGCCAATTCTCTTCTTCTGAAGGTCAACATTCATTACTTCAACGTTCACGTTATCTCCAAGCTGCACACCCTGTCTCCCCTCCAGGCCCTGTCTCATCTGACTTGTATGGATCAGTCCACTGTGACCCACCCCTATGTCCACAAATGCCCCAAAATGAGTCACATTTGTCACTCTGCCTGTCAGTGTTTGTTTGGCTTTCAGATCTTCCATTGCAATCACACCCTTCTTGAATAGTGGTTTATCATACTCTGGAACAGAATAGACATACATTTTGACAAAAACAAGTGAACTACATGTATTTCTTCACACACCTCCATGTCATGATTGTGAACTGTTGCAAAAATCAGATTTAGCACACTGGGCTACTCATGAAATGATCTGGAAATTCTATGAATTTGAACCAGGCGAGCTAACATTACCAAGGCTATTAATAGAAGATTAGCAAATTTAGTCGGCCAGGCTACAGTTGAGAAATAATCCTCACGTCCTTAATATAGATATTGTTCATGTCAACCGCCTCCGTGTTGTAGTGGTTAGAGCGTCCGCCCGGAGAGCGGAAGGTCGCGGGTTTGATCCCCGACCGCATCATACCAAAAGACGTTAAAATATGGTACTTGTTGGTCCCTGCCTGACGCTCGGCATTAATGGGTACGACAAGGACTTGTCGGCTCGGAGTAAGTATAATGTGTCTGAGTGGGGTATTCATGCTTCACTGCGGCGTGGTATCTCAGTGGGCTAGCACTATAAAACCTGCTTAAGTCTGGGCCAGTACAAGCAGCCGCACATACACATACACACGCATGCATGTCGTCATATGAGCGAAATATTCTCAAGCACGACGTTAAACCCAATTTCACCTCACCTATTGTTCATGTCCATACACTGGTCCAACAATCTCTTTGTACAGTATGAAAATGTCTCTCTGAATAGCAGGGGCGGTGGGGTAGCCAAGTGGTTAAAGTGTTCGCTCATCACACAGAAGACCAAGGTTCGATTCCCCACATGGGTACAGTGTTTGAAGCCCATTTCTGGTGTCCCCCCCCCCCCCACCATGATATTGCTGGAATATTGCTAAAAGCTGCATAAAACCATACACGCACACACTCTCTGAATAGCATGGGACACTCAAAACAACACTTGCAAGAACTCCCATAAGATTACAGTGACTGGCAGATGACTGTTATCGTTGATATATGTAATTCTAAAAAGGAAGTAAATTTACTCATTACTACTACTACTAATATACATGCCTACAGTTAACAATAGGAAACTTCTATTCACCTACATTATCAGCTTAAAAAGAAATTGTTCGCTACAAATGAGCTGTTAATTTGACAAAGTTTCCCACATACCATCTCGGATGTCGTATGTCAGTGACTGTCTGAGAGCATCAGTGATGAGAGTGATGGTAGGAGCTCCAGTGTTGTACAACCTCGCAAGCTCCTCCACACCTGGCAATACAAACATTGAACATCAACCTTGGATCATAGGAGTGAGTGAGCGAGTTTAGTTTTACGCCACACTCAGCAATATTCCAGCTATATGGCGGTGGTCTGTTAATAATCAAGTCTGGACCAGACAATCCAGTGATCAACAGCATGAGCATCGATCTGTGCAATTGGGAGCCGATGACATTTGTCAACTAAGTCAGCGAGTCCGACCACCTGATCCTGTTAGTCACCTCTTACGACAAGCATGGGTTACTGAAGATCAATATTCTAACCCGGACCTTCACGGGTCGGATCATAGGACATGAGTACCCAGACTTGTGTTGGTAACCAGGACACCCCACCTAACCTTGGACCTCATACATCTTTAAAGACAATGACAAAAGACTCACAATCGATATCGATATAATCGATATAAGTCTAGAGTCTTTAGACAAGGCTTTGGATATTTATTCAGTAAGGACAGGTAATAACTTCATGTGATATTAAATTCCAAATTTCTAGCAGGTTCATTGTCATTTGAAGAAAGGAAATCATAGAATTTCACAACTACGGGTACAATTATACTACTCAACAGAACAAGGCCTTGATAGTTAACTATAGTCATATATAGTACTCAACAGAACAAGGCCTTGATAGTCAACTATAGTCGTATATACTACTCAACAGAACAAGGCCTTGATGGTTAACTATAGTCATATATACTACTCAACAGAACAAGGCCTTGATAGTTAACTATAGTCATATATAGTACTCAACAGAACAAGGCCTTGATAGTCAACTATAGTCATATATACTACTCAACAGAACAAGGCCTTGATAGTTAACTATAGTCATATATACTACTTAACAGAACAAGGCTTTGATAGTTAACTATAGTCATATATACTACTCAACAGAACAAGGCCTTGATAGTTAACTATAGTCATATATACTACTTAACAGAACAAGGCTTTGATAGTTAACTATAGTCATATATACTACTCAACAGAACAAGGCTTTGATAGTTAACTATAGTCATATATACTACTCTACAGAACAAGGCCTTGATAGTTAACTATAGTCATATATACTACTCAACAGAACAAGGCCTTGATAGTTAACTATAGTCATATATACTACTCAACAGAACAAGGCCTTGATAGTTAACTATAGTCATAGAAACAATCAGGTGTTCTTTCATTTCTTTTAAATATTATAAAATCACTGAAGTCAGTCTATTGTACTGACAACATGGGTATCAGTTTGACGTCCTGAATAATAGAGGAAATGTCACTGATGATACTGTGATGTGATACTATGACATGAGTGAGTGAGTTTAATTTTACGCCGCACTCAGCAATATTCCAGCTATATGGTGGCGGTCTGTAAATAGTCGAGTCTGGACCAGACAATCCAGTGATCAACAGCATGAGCATCGATCTGAGCAATTGGGAACCGATGATATGTGTTAACCAAGTCAGCGAGCCTGACCACCCGATCCCGTTAGTTGCCTCATACGACAAACATGGGTTACTGAAGGCTCATTCTAACCTGGACCTTCACGGGTGCTATGACATGATGTTACTTCAACTCACCAATCAGTTTAAAGAATCAACAAAGTGTGGAAATACATTGTAGGTTTAGGTAGTTAAGTTCTAAAAACAATCGTTACTCAACATTTACATACCAAGGAAATATTTATATATAGATATGCTGACTCACCTTTGTGCTTGCTGAATTTTCTTATTTTCTCACAAAAGTCTTCCTGCCCTACGTTCTTTGGATCAACTCCAGTGTCTGTCATGAGCCTGAAACAGCCAAGCCATCACACCATCTTTGATTATCAAGTGTCTTTTAATATGACACCCCAATCAGCAATACACCATATGACATAAATAATTATGTCTGGATCAGAATATCGAGTTAATGATTTTGTCAGCAATGATCCTCGCCATTCTGGTACACTGACACAATCCACCTTATCTCCACGCCTGGGTGGGGTTTCACAAAGCTATCCTTGCTCTACAACTGTTGTACCTCCTATACTGTAACACAGACTTATGACAGTCGTAGCGCTACGACAGCTTTGTGAAACAGGGCTCTGGTCCTTTTGGTCCAGCCTATTGGGTAGCTGCTTCTCATGACAACCTGGAGATGCTGGGGATCGATTCTGATCTAGAATCTTCATCTGGTTAATATACAGTAGCACTCATGACATTGAGTAAACTGTCTTGACAATATCATAGACTCACCTTGTTGCTATATGATAAGACTCTGGATGTATGGCGGTCATATCTAGCGGATTTGGCGTACAATCAGTTTCTGATTTCTTCTTTTTGGCGGACACTTTTGATGAGCCAGCTTTCCTCTTCCTCCCTTTGCCTGATGGGCCTGCTGCCTCAGCTTCAGCATCCTCATCTGGCCTAGATAGAGATGTCGTATCAAGTAATGGGGTATAAATCCTATATACTATAAACATGCTGCAATACTAACTCTAACATTAAGGTGCAGAGACAAATTTGTTTGTTATTTGTTTTCAGTTTGTAATTGGAAAACTTCTCCCTAATAATGATATTTTATGTTCTTAATTATCAATATCCGAGAAGATATATAAAACTGGCAATGCTTAATTCATTGAAACCAATTAAAATAGAATTTACTAACCCTAACCAGATGTAGAATGAAGTGGAACAGCCCTAACCACATTGACTGTCCCTCCACTAACCTCTCTCCCTCCAGACTGAAGTGGAACAACCCTTGCTCCACCATTGACTTTCCCTCCACTTACCTCTCTCCCTCCAGACTGAAGTGGAACAACCCTAACTACATTGACTTTCCCTCCACTTACCTCTCTCCCTCCAGACTAAAGTGGAACAACCCTAACTACATTGACTTTCCCACTACTTACCTCTCTCCCTCCAGACTGAAGTGGAACAACCCTTGCTCCACCATTGACTTTCCCTCCACTTACCTCTCTCCCTCCAGACTGAAGTGGAACAACCCTAACTACATTGACTTTCCCACCACTTACCTCTCTCCCTCCAGACTAAAGTGGAACAACCCTAACTACATTGACTTTCCCACCACTTACCTCTCTCCCTCCAGACTGAAGTGGAACAACCCTAACTACATCGACTTTCCCACCACTTACCTCTCTCCCTCCAGACTGAAGTGGAACAACCCTAACTACATTGACTTTCCCACCACTTACCTCTCTCCCTCCAGACTAAAGTGGAACAACCCTAACTACATTGACTTTCCCACCACTTACCTCTCTCCCTCCAGACTGAAGTGGAACAACCCTAACTACATTGACTTTCCCACCACTTGCCTCTCTCCTCCAGACTAAAGTGGAACAACCCTAACTACATTGACTTTCCCACCACTTACCTCTCTCTCCTCCAGACTAAAGTGGAACAACCCTAACTACATCGACTTTCCCACCACTTACCTCTCTCCCTCCAGACTGAAGTGGAACAACCCTAACTACATTGACTTTCCCACCACTTACCTCTCTCCCTCCAGACTAAAGTGGAACAACCCTAACTACATTGACTTTCCCACCACTTACCTCTCTCCCTCCAGACTGAAGTGGAACAACCCTAACTACATTGACTTTCCCACCACTTACCTCTCTCCCTTCAGACTAAAGTGGAACAACCCTAACTACATTGACTTTCCCACCACTTACCTCTCTCTAGGGCTGTAATGATGCATCAAACTATCGATGGATTACAATTGTTGAGTCTCCGACAGCAATTAATCAATGGTAGAAACAAAAAACTATCTATGCATTGATTATAAGTGTGACTATCGATAGTTTAGTAATTGACTTCCGTTGGTACATGCGCAGCGCAAAATACAGGAAGTACCAGATTCGTTCACTTTGATTTTAGAATTATCCGCCCCGTTACCTCTTTAACAATCTTGATCTGGATTTCAAGTTTCTTGTCAGTTAGTAAAAGAGACTGAAACTACTTCTGCTTCTTTTTATTTCATATAAACTGTACATTCATTTGGAAAATGACTTCAAATGAGACACTTGGAGTATTGCAATAGTTGGTGGCAACAGACTATCGCTATCACAATAGTTGTTTACCGCTCAATAGTCACCCCTACCTCTCTCCCTCCAGACAGAAATGGATCAATCCTTACTCCATCACAATACTTACCCCTCTCCCTGCCGATTTAAGTCATGCAGCACTCGGATGAAGCCAGCACACTGCTCGTACCCCTTCTGACCCAAGCCCTTGATACCCAGTAGCTGCTCTCGACTAACAAATGCTCCATTCTTCTCTCGCCACTCAAGGATCTTCTTTGCCTTGGTAGCATTCAGCCCTGCAATCCTCCTGAAACACATACACATGCACCTATGTAACATAGTCAGTCATTGTGGTGCTTACACTAAGCTGACAATTTCCATTAAATTAACATCATCGAAAATATTATCCATGACAACTGAGTGGCTGAATGTTGTTTTACATCAATTTTACACCTGGCTGACCAGTGATAGACAGCATCAACTCCAAGGAGGCAATGTGACCCATAAAACAAGGTCTCACAATGGTGAACTGATTCCTCATCCGATAGGTCTTGTGTTTACTAAACACATGGGTATAGATGCCTACCCCAACATCCCCACATAAATTATTGATCGACTCAAAACACATTTAAAAAGGTTAATGAATTTCATTTTCATCCAAGTCAACAACTTATGAGAGAAATGGATTATGAAGATACAGAAGATAATATTGTCTGACATAATATAATAATTGACAATCTATCGAGTAATCATTAAAAAAGAATATATGGGGACAGTTTTGTTTTGTGATTATTAATCAGTCAGGCTGGGAATGGAGGTACAGACTCACCTTAGTAGACACTCGCTGCCGGTGTTGATGTCCACACCAACGAAGCTGACACACTCCTCCACCACCGAATCTAAAGCTGTCTTCAACTTGCTCTCTGCGATGTCATGCTATGAAACACATCACACACAGTAAAGCATTCTAAATCTCTTAGAACATACAAAGAAAATAGATGGTCTTCAAACACATAGGATCTAATCTGTTGCAGTATTCGATGAACACTTAATTAAACTAAAGGCCCTCTGATATTTTTTATTCAGTGCTGCAGCCAGGATTTCCAAGGAAGGGGCTAGTTGAACCCTACCTTTAGACTGACTGACTGAGTTTGGTTTTCCGCCGCTTTTAGCAATATTCCAGCAACATCACGGCGGGGGACACCAGAAATGGGCTTCACACATTGTACCCATGTGGGGATTCGAACCCGGGTCTTCCGCGTGACGAGTCAACGCTTTAACCATTAGGCTACCCCACAGCCCCCTACCTTTAGAAAATGTGGGCCAATAACCAAAAGTGAAAAAATCTGTAATCCTTCTCTTTGACATTTTGACAGCCAAAAGGCTCTGTACAGCAAAATGAGCTCCTTACAGCGATTCATATTACAGTTTGTATGCAAATAGATGTACTAACAATGTGCAGAGTTTAGGAAGCCTTGTTTTAAATTCTGGAAGTTTCAATATTTTGATTTTGATTTCCGAATGTTTGACATCCCTTTCAATGAAAAAAATCGTAGTTTGAAATTAATTACGAGCCCTATATATAAAAACGTGTTATGAATAATAAATTTGCACCATTGTTCGTGCATACATTTATAAATAAAGCATCAAGGTAAGTACAATTAGCAGCAATCCCTCAATTACGCAGTCTGGTGGCAGCACTGTTATTGGTACAGGCCAAAGGTGAGGTGAGGTGAAATGGGGTTTAACGTTGTACTATTTCTCTCATATGATGACGTGCATGCGTGTGTGTGTATGTGCGGCTGCTTGTACTAGCCCAGACTTAAGCTGGTTTTATAGTGCAAGCACACTGAGATTCCATGCCGCAGTTAAGCATGAATACCCCACTCGGACACATTATACTGACAAGTACCATATTGTAATGTCTTTTGGTATGACATGGCCGGACATCGAACCTGCGACCTTCTGCTCTCCAGGTGGACGCTCTAACCACTACACCACAGAGGCGGTCACAGGCCAAAGGACCATCAGTTATATCAACCCATAGTTCATGTCTTCCCAGAGCCTACAGATGAGCTAAACATAAATATGGACAGATAAGAGTGATTAGATCAGGTGAAGTTTTACCCTGCAAACACCTATACATAGCTCACCTGATACATCCCCACACCAATATGTTTGGGTTCAATTTTGACAAACTCTGCCATGGGCTCCTGCAGTCGTCTTGCTATGGAAACTGGAAACAGGAAACCTCACATAAAAGACATTTATGATCAAGGGGGGATACAGCTTTTAGAAATAGAGGGGGTGCACCTTCTTGAGACAGTGGGGTGGGGGTGGGGTGGGGTGCACACTTCATTTTCAGGGGTCATTTAATAAATTTTCAGGACACGCACATGCACACGCACGCACGCACGCACGCACGCACACACACACGCACACACACACACGCCTCCCTGGATCGGCCTATGATGATAAAATAACATGTAACATGTCAGGTACTTGTAACACCTCAATGGTTGACCCAAGATCAATCAGGGATTCTACAATCTTTGATGTTTCACACCAAAGGATGATCATTATGTACTATGACTATGCGCAAACATAATGAATAATTAAGAAGGTAGACTTGTATAGATATCACCCCATTCTACTTCGGCAGCTAAGTATTGTAATGAATAAAAAGAGATGAAGCCTCAGATAAATAGGGCAGCATCCCTTGATGACAAAAACATGACTTTGCAGCTTGAAAATGTATGTGACAGCATATCAACCACTTTATATGAAAAAGAAGTTTCACAAATTAGACAAATAAGCAACCAGCTAGACACCTGACACAGATTCCTTATTTACAGACAAGGAGGAGGAGTCATCACGGAGGTGGATCCTTCATCTTTGAGTGAGTGAGTTTAGTTTGACACCGTTTTTAGCAATATTTCAGCATTATCATGGCAGGGATCACCAGAAATGGGCTTCACATATTGTACCCATGTGGGGAATCGAACCCGGGTCTTCAGTGTGACGAGCGACCGCTTTAACCACTTGGCTACCCCACCACCCCCTTTGATCTTTGAATCCAAGGGTGGAGTTAACATGTGGAGTTTCTGAAAGATAAGACTGCCCATCCCTGCAAACCTCTTCTGATTCTGACATTGCAATGATGATGGTCGGTGCAGGTTTTCCTCTTTAACACGACCAAGCCTTATTACAGTGCTTCTTATAATAGTGTTAATTTTAAGACTAGTTTATATCTGTTTTAAGCAGAGGTAAATGACCCACCTGCTCCTCTGAGTGTAAGGTCAAGGCCAGGTAACTCTCGCTGGGCCTCATCTGACACGCTGTAGATGGACGCTCCACACTCGTCTACAATGCTAGAAAACAAAACTGGATGTCTACATGCAAAGACCGATTAAGAAAAAGAGCTTTTATCATGATATTGTAGAAGGGCATGGAGTCATCCTACAGATGACATCCTTACCTTGTGAGCTTTCTGATAAGGTTAAACGTTTTGATCATGTGGACACTACTATCTCACCTATATCATGACAGCCAGAGTTCACCTGTGAAGATCTGGGATAGAATTAGTCTTCAGCATCCATGCTTGTCGTAAAAGGCGACTAACAGCATTGGGCGGTCAGGGTCACTGACTGGGTTGACACGTCATTGTATCCCAATTGCGTAGATTGATGTTCATGCTGTTGATCACTGGATTGTCTGGTCCAGACTCGATTATTGACAGACCGCCGCCATATAGCTGGAATATTGCTGAGTGCAGCGTAAAACTAAACTCACTCACTCATTTCATGAGTCCATACAGGAAATGACGAGGGTCAGGTAAAGTAATTAAATAGTTAGGGCTGGATATTGCCCTGATTTTCATATTGCGATATATTGCAATAAGTTAAGAGATATTGCAATACATATTGGGATATATTGACTGGAAGGTTTCTGCCCAAGTACATCATAAATTCATAATAGCTCTCTGTGTGCGACATCATCTTCTTAGTTGCTGTTACACCATACTTTCAGGCTCCCTGTCCCCATTGTGTACGGCTGTATGCCAATCGTTCACAGATAAATAAAATGATATAGAGCCTTGATGTGGAATGTTTAATTGAAGTACTGCAACAGAGTTTTGCGAACATAATGATAAAGGTAATAGTACAACATGATTTTCATGGTCAGTTTTGTTTGCTTCAACAGAATGCACTTCAATGCAGTATGTAAATATTGTTACTATTTGTCAGTGATTCGTTCAGATTCAACTCCAATATAAACATGTGTTAACATGAACTATTGCAAAATGAACCTAAAACATGATTTAATTGAACTACTGGAGCATAAAATCGCATGTGACCTCCAATTACTAAGATCCTTGACTAGAATGTCATTATACAGTCCTACAAAATTTATAAGACTTTGGCCTTTAATATAAATTGATGTCATATGTCCCATTATGAAACAAACAAAAATAACAAAATACTGTGAATTGTGAAATGGTCACTCAGAGGCCAGAGGCTCTACTAATAAGTCCAAATATAAAAATGGTCCATTTGAGGCCATTGAACTCCTCCAAATGAAACCATTGAACCCACAAAACGTAATGCACTTGGTAGAATATTTGACACTTTTGGAGCCACTTATAATGACACTTCCACTTGTAATAAGTTACATGAAGCCAACAGATATAAAACTATATTTGGCACTTTCAGATCACATTTTTTTGCTATGAAAATCAAGGGCAGATAATTCAAAGGGAGCCAACTCTGGATGACCCAATATATTGCAGATTCTGAACCATATCGCGATAATTGTATCGCGAGATACTGTATCGGTATATACCAGTTTACCGGTAATATTGCACAGCCCTATAAATTGTGCTGTGTACTGTCCTGTACAATTTTATAAATTCTTTCATTATAAGATCTTTCATGTTAAAGTTTGGTACAGTTCATATTACAGTACATCTTAAGGGACGAACCATATTATTTTCACTACATCCATTCAACTAATTATAAAGATTTGGGAAGCATGCTTCTTCAAACTCTGATCTATGGGATGACTCGAGCGAGTGAGTGAATGAGTGAGGGAGCTGGGTTTTACACCACTTTTAACAATATTCGCGCAATATCACAGCGGGGACACCAAAAATGGGTTTCACACAGTGTACCCATGTGGGGAATCGAACACGGGTCTTTGGCATGACGAGCAAACACTTCAACCACGAGGCTACCCCACCACCCAAAATGACTCCAGGCACTGCCGTGTCTACATTGTCATAACGTGAAGCTGTTCATACTGTTGACCCACCAGTACATGACCTGCATCTCCCCGGACGCCTTCCCCTGGATGAGGCCAGAAACATACTCCTCCGTCTGTCGACACGCCACACCATTCCCAATGGCTATCATCTCACACCTGCAAAGTGATGTGAATAAACCTGAGAAGTAGTGTCTTCTGATAGCATACACCCAACAAGCATTGTCTTGTGATAATATACACCTGAGAAGTGTCTACTGATAACATGCACCTGAGAAGTGTCTACTGACTAGCATCACAGTATACATAGTTATATATCTCTCCATAACATCCTGTACAAGATTAATCCATTACTTTTGGACAGACAGACAGACAGACAGACAAATAACATTGTTGAGATGTTTTTAGGATAATAGTTTTTACTGGAAAGGTTGTGAGTTATTCCCCTTTGAAGCACGATGCCTGAAATAATGATGCATCCAAGAAACTGTAGCTGTCTATATTCCTTCTTTTCAATTATCCTATGACGGAATTTTTCCAATATGGCTGTCAAGATGGACATATGCTGGCTCAAAGAGGAATAACAGATTCTGATATGTGGAAGCAGCTACTGACAGTATCAATCCTACAACGTCCCATATTTCTGGACTGACAAACAAAAACCTTTACACTTCTTTGTGAGCTTTTCTTCTGTGAAACTTACTGCTGTGACATTTTGAATCGGTGTGTGTTAAACAGAACAGTCCGTCTCTCTGCTCAGACAAACTTACCTGTATGATTTAACAATATTGACCAGTTTCTGTTTCTCAGCAGCCTTGTTAGACTTGTAGTCCAGGAAGTAGAACACCTGAGTTGTCTGTATTCCACCTGTAGAGGGAGTATATCCATTGTTAACCCACACTCGGTTAGCACGATAGGTCACAAGCAAAAACTTATCAGGACAGTGAGGTTGAAATACAGCATGTATCATGATAGTGGGGGCACAATAGAAGTATCACTAGATTGTTGCTGCTTGTTGTGTTGGACCAAATGACAAGGGTCATGTAGATGTAATTCATTATAGTTTGTGTGGTAAGTGTACCCATACACTAGTTGAAAAAGTTTGTAAATAATTCCAAGAATATATTACAGAATTTTATGTAAACTGGGTTAAAAAAACAGTGACAGAGCTATCTTCATTTTTTAAACATATTGTGATTCTATCTTTTTGGTAAATCATTTAAGGAATCATGAACAAACTATGAAATGTCATTGTTGAAACTTGTCCATCCACCTGTAGGGGAGACAACTGCTGTCTTGCAGCCATTCTTGAACCCTGGGTCAATCCCAAACACAGTCTTTCCCCTGACTGGCGGCGTTAGAAGCAGTCGTTTCAGGTTGGAGGCAAACACAAGGATGGAGTCTTTCTCTGCTGCCTTTGTCAACTCAGACCTGGAGACAGACAGACTCTTGCTGAATGTTCACACACAGCCCTGGAAATTGGTGAGTTTATGCTTCCCTGCATCATGACCTCTTAGGAGCCTCTTGTGATCAGTAATAATACCAATATTTAAGATGAAACCTTCTTTCCAAATGAACAAGTGATCAAATACTATCCATATCAATATTCCGATGTTTTTTTCATATAATGATTGGAAAATTTCCATTCTTGTTTGAAAAAAAGAGGATGCATGCCTCAGCTGTTTCTGATGTAGGAACATATGCCCAGACTTAGAACACTGTCAAGGAAAGAAACATTTGTGAGGTTAAACCGTGTAGTGTTAAGGTTCCATAAGCTAGAGAATGAAGATAAAGCTGTTTGTCTTGTTTCTGTGGGGAACAGCAGACAAAAGTCTCTTTAAAACCTAACTGTCTGGACAAGATGTGCATGAAATGGCAGGCTTGTCAACAGACATTTTGTAAATACTGTTTTTTTTTAAAGCAAACATTTGCGAAAACAATGTCAGCAGCTCAGGGGTCGGAAAGAACTTTAAAATTGCTAGTGTACTCCGGTACAGTGGCACATGTAAAATCACTTGCCCTGATAATTTGTCCACTATACCGGCCGTTTTCTTGTTGATTTTTTAAATAAACCACATAATAAATATTGGAAAGTCAACTGGACATGGGTACAGTGTGATATACAAATTTGCTTGCCCAGCAGAAAAAAACACTGGGCTCGGGCATCGGGCAATGGGTTATTTCCACCCCTGCAGCTGCTTGATTCCATTTCTAAATGGCATTGATGAGATTCTATTCTGTTACTGATGCTGAAGATGTTGTGACCTAAAAGGGGCCCACCTGATATGTCTGCACGTCTGTGGCAGGATGAGTCGGTTGACCGCATCTGTGATGCTAGCGGACATCAGCTTCTTCACACTTTCAGGTGACCAGTGCTTCACAAACTTGTGGGTATAGCTGCCTATAAGACGATTCTTCACATAATCGGGGATAGTCACTCGAACAGTCAGAATCTTTTTGTCTTCTCCACGATTTAATGCAAGCACCTGCAACACAACGTCTTGACTACACCGGCAGTAGCTGCTAGAGACGAGGACAACCTGCTCTGGGAAACTGGGGGTTGTTAGTTTCTATGTTTTTCATGCAATTTGCTACTACACTGCAATAAGGACAGCCAGTGACTTAATATGTGCTGCTGTAGCTACAGTACAACCAGAAATTATTGAGAATTTAAAGATTTTAATTGTTTTAATTTTTTCACTCATTATTCACGTATTAAATGTGAATATTAGCAGAACATAACTCCAGATTCAAAGACAGGTGAACAGATAGTAGGAAGGCGTTTCCTATTCTCGCAGTACTTAAGGATATCAGCTGAAAAAATAACACAAACAATTCTTATCGTATGAATGCTTGTTGTCACTAAATGAAGGGCCTTCTCCTCTAACATCTGCATCTATCAGCTGCTAGATCCATCAGGTGAATTACCACTCGTGAGACCGGTGATAAACAATGCCATCCGCCATTGACGAAATGAGGCTTCTCCTATTCTTGCGGTATTACCAGGAATTAACGTTATTGAGTGTATGTAAGAGTAATCCTGCCGGAAAGGGCGGGAAAAAGTAATGATATGTCCAAGTTGGTATAAACTCCCCAATATTCGTGACACTGCAAGATTTTGATCATTCACAGACTTGGGCCACTTCCTAGTTACCAGTCGGTGATGTAAACAACCGCTAAGTGTCACGCATCGGCGATTTCGGCAGAAAATGTATTTACCGCGAGAATAGAAGACCATGGGCAGCAATGCAGGCTTCAATGCGGCGGGGCATACTACTGATGAAAGAAGTTAGAAAGTCGTGGTCCATGCTGTCCCAATATCGGACCACCTCTTCTTTCATTTCAGCAATATTTGTCAGATTTTTCTTATTGACACTTTCCTTCATAAGTTCCCAGTCATTTTCTATTGGATTAAGGTCAGGGCTAAAGCTTGTCCAATCTAATAATGTCATATTTTGGGTCCGAAACCAGGCCTGTGAATGCTTTGAACGATGTTTTGGGTCGTTGTCCTGCTAATAAATCCAAACATTTCCATAGAACACGTGAGCAGATGGAAGTAAATGTCCCTCGAGAATATCTGTGTACCGCTCACTGTTCACATTCCCTTCAAATACACAGAGGGGCGTTGCCCCTAACACAGATATGCCACCCCACACGTTAAATTTCGGACTGTACTTTGGGCGCTGATACAAAGGTTTTTCAGTTTGTTTGGACCAAAATTTCAGTGTATCAGGAAACAGCCACACAGAACTTTCATCTGAGAAAATCACATTGTCCCAGTTAAAATTTCTATGCTGTAAGCACATGTTCAACCTTCGCTGCTTTTGTTCAGGTTTCATGATCGGTGATGGAATTCCTCGACTTTTCTGCCAACCCATTGCATGCAGCTCAGTTCTAATTGTCTCCTTACAGACAGCCACAGTTCCTCTATCAATCATATCCAGCCTTACGTTTTCTAAACTCCTTCGTTTCTTTTTAGAAACAAGAATGCCAAGCCACCTCCTGTCACCGACAGTCAATTTTCTGGGCCTACCTGCGCCTCCCTGGTGCTCAATGCCATATTCATTTGCAATATTTCGAAAACACGATAAACAGTGGACAAACGGATGCCTGTTCCACTTGAAATCACTTTAGCTGATCTGATGTCCTTGTTATAGTACTCTAAAATCAACTTCCTCTTCTCTAAATCATCCATACTGAGGATCACTGAAAATGTCGTCTGCTAGCAAGTAAACAAAGGGGGATAACTCTTCACAAACTAATGAAAAAGGATTAACGGAGTTGTCTCTCTTGAATGAAACCAAGCACTTGATAGCTGGTCAAGGTTGTTTATACTAGAATTCCAATTAAACATATTCTTAAAATTCTCAATAATTTCTGGTCATACTATATAATATGTATTCATCATCATGATTGAGGGGTCACGCTTCCCAGAATGCACTTTACTTCAGCATTTAGAATGAATCTCTTTATATTTACAATGAATATTATGTCATTTTGTGCACAACATATTTACGTTAGGATGACCTACTTGGTGACTCTTGATATATTTCACGGGGCAGGAAAAGTCGAAGTACTGTTCGAACTTGTGGCTGTCATCTGAGGCTCCAGCTTTATTGTCCTTATCATCCTTCTTGGAGCTTGTCTTACTTCTACTGGACTCCATCTTGACATTGGAGGTCTCGCACCTGCACACAACAGTAGGTCGTTAAAGTGGTCTGTCAGTTTAATTAAAAGGTGTGTGCGTGAGTTTAGTTGTATGTTGCTTTTAGCAATATTCCAGCAATATCACAGTGGGGAACACCAGAAATGGGCTTCACACATGAGATATAATTAAAAGGAGTCAAACACAAGTCTAGATTGTCAACTCCTTAAATTCTGATTGTTGTGGGCTCACTTTGGTTTACATCTATATTTTGGTAGGTTTAATTTAATAAGATAACATTATATCTGGGACTAAATGACAGTCTAACATTTTAGCTCCTGTGCTTGTTTGAGACTTTCACATTGAAGTTCTGAATACAATATTAAAACAAGTTTTCAATGTAGATCAATGGGTCATCTATTTGTTAATGTCAACTATGCAGGGGAGACAACTCACAATCTTTTGACTTCATCCATGGCTTCTTTGTCCTTTGAGATAATATCAGCCACGATATGCTGGATGCCAGTCTCTATGTCATGAGGTTTAGCCAAACCTGAAATATACACCATGTGATTTAAGACATGCACTTATCTGTACCAACACTGCCAGGGCTCCAGATAAGGGCCGTATCGGCGTATGTACGGATAAAAAATATGCAAGATACGGTAGGAAATAGTTTAGAAAGCATAGCAGATACGCACCACAGCAATGGTGTACGGTCTTAGAATCATTTACTGACGTATTTATCGGAAAAAGTATTGTTTTATTGTTTATTGACCTGTTTACACAAGAGTAGTAATGTTGTGAAACGAAACACAAGATTACTGATACGCCATTAATTTCCATTCAGTACTCTAAATGTACTCTTAAGGTTTTCCAGTACTCCTATATTGAAAAAATAAGAAGTATGTACTCCTGATCATGAAAAAATTATCTGGAGCCCTGACTGCAATAGCATATCAGTCACTGACTACAATTTGTATGTGATGACAAGTCTCGTTTCCCACCTGGCATCTAGGCCTACACTAAGGCCTTAAATCACATTCCCACTAAAACTTCAGAAAATTGTTTTTTAATGTTGTTTTGTTCCCCTTGGCTGAAAACGTCTCCAATACAAAGTGACACACTAATTAGGATTTGGTGATTACATAATAGGATATGCATTACCCTCTGGAGACTCTTTCAATGGGAAGCGATATCTTAAAGGTCACATGCAACGTAAAACACAACTTTGCAGATTCTGATACCTTTCGGTATGGACTTACCGAAACAAAGCGTCAAAAATGCAAATTCAACTTATAAAGTTGAAAAATAACGCGATGAAAAAAAGCGTCTTGAAATCGAGAGTTCAAAGCGTTTCACTAATTTCCCCAGACTTTTCTGGGGAATCACGAGGTTTCAACAGCTGGGCTGCGCTCATATGCGTCATGCCAGTGAAATAGGTTAAGCGCAACTTGGAAGCGGGCTGTCTGGTGAATACTCGGTGAAGGCTTTGGTGTGAGCTATTTTCATAATGTTTTGTTGATATCTCACAAGTAGCGAGCTTTTTATATGTTATGACAGTAAATTAACTGTTTATATAATTTCATTTGTCTATTTCACCACACGTTCTTCTTACCGAGTCACTTTCTCAGTTTGATACTTAAAAGCAATGTCATTATTTAGCGTTGACAGAATTTCTAACTGTGATATAGATATGTCGCTGTCACAGACAAAACTCAATGTCTTGTTTATTGACACCTGTGTGTCTGCCTGCCTGTCTGCTAATGACAATATTCAATACACAACTGCGATCACTGACCACATGCAATTTGAACTTAACACCAATCAGGCTATACACCATAAACAAAAGCGCGCATTGATTTATGGCCCGAGTTGGTCTCTGTCACATTATGTAATTACACAGACAGGCAGGTGTGATACTTGAACACATGACATGTTATGATGTCTGTTGATTGCAAAATGTTATACACAAAAAATGAGCATGTATTTACAAAACCCAACATCTCTATATATACACACACAATGAGCCGTGAAGGCGGCATCTGCTAATGAACCAGCCGTTACACTTGAGTGCACACCCACCCGCTCTGACTGGGTTCGGTATCCCGGCTGCTTCGTTTGAGGAGAGTAAACCCAAGTACAAAATATTGCACTTTTGATTTGCGATTATACGCTTATAATTTTGTTTATTTGTTTTCATAATCAGCAATGCATATTATATGTCATGAAGAAGTGATAATTGTGTTTTAATTATGTTTGATTTTTTGGTTGCATGTGACCTTTAAGCCAAAATAAATCTGTACCACAAAAACCTGTCATCAAGGACAACAAAAACACCAGAATATCACAGATTTGGTTTGAAACTACTATCTGCACTGGAAACATTAATTGTTTACAATTTCTAACAGGGTTAATTGTATCCTAATGAAGTGGATCTTGAGGCTATCTTGTCTTATCCAGGTTAGTTATAGCCATAATAGGTCATCAAGACATAAGAATATTGCTGATTCAGCTTCACACAACCTGACACACAACTCCCTTGTTTCTAGGTAAAATGCATCACAATTTGATAAGCAGTATTGCTGCCTACAGAGTTTTACCTAATGACTGTCAACAACCTGTATTGCTACGAGTTAGCTAATAATGTTAGAGAATAACCTCACCTTTTTCACCTTGCCTGACGAGTGTCTCCAGCTGAACATGCTTTCCATCTAGAATCTGTAACGCTGGTTCCTCCAGGCCAAGTTTGCGAGCTCTCTCAGCGAGACTCCCCTTGTGTCCTGGTTTGTAGGGGGCGTACTGTGGGGGACAGCAGTAGTGTTATATTTACAACTGCCTAGGGGGCTCCAGATTATGAGTGAGTGAGTACGGTTTTACACCACTTTAGCAATATTACAGCAATATCACACGCAGGGGACACCAGAAATGGGCTTCACATATTGTACCCATGTGAGGAATCGAACCCAGGTCTTTGGTGCGACAAGCTGTAACCACTGGGCTACCCCAGCTTCCCTCCAGATAATGTCTCAAGCCACAAGTTTACTGTGATGTATTTCCAATATATTTTCATTCCTTGGACCCAGTCTTGGGTCTTTATAGACCAACAAGAAGCTTTTCATAAAGTAATTCCTCCTACAATATCGTCTCAGGTGCATCTTATTTGTATGTTTGTGTACGTCCCAAAGTGTGTGACACCTTGCCTAAAACTCACAATGTAGATATACATGTTTAATTAACAATATGGAAGACATATTGCCATTGTTAAGTATCATTAATCGCAGTAAAAGATCTGTAGAATGCCTGCATTTGATCAGAAGACAAGGATCTGAAATACAGGCCCATCTGAAGAATATGATACACTGATTCTTTACACTGATTTTTTTAGATATTTCATGAACATTTGTAAACATGCAGCTCAAAAGGAATTGAGTAATGTCACTTTGTTTTGCATACATTACACAAATATGCAGCTTATCTGCAGCTCTGAGCCTAGCTGTGCAATTTCGATCAACCAACCATGTATACACCCAGCTATCTGCTGTCCTAAATGGGGTGGGTTGGAGGAGCCTGTGGTTAAAATGGTCGCTCATCACACTCAAGACTGGCATGGGTACATTTTTTTAGTTCACCACAATGATACTGGTGGAATATTGCTAAAAGCATGGTATATTGCTATACTCACTCAGTCACTCACTCACTCGGCAAAGGTATATCATCAAGAAATCATCAACAAGTCTACATCATGTGCAGTCTGGTTAGGGGCTGTGGGGTAGCCTAGTGGTTAAAGCGTTGGCTCGTCACGCCGAAGACCCGGGTTCGATTCCCCACATGGGCACAATGTGTAAAGCCCATTTCTGGTGTCCCCCGCCGTGATATTGCTGGAATATTGCTAAAAGCGGCGTAAAACTAAACTCAGTCAGTCAGTCAGTCAGTCTGGTTCAAATCTGGATCCCTTACAACTTATGAGTTTCTGACGAACTAAATATTCTCAGTGACATTTCATGTACCAAAATATTTTTGTTCAAAGTATGTTCAAGCAAGATGCATACCAGATATTTGGTTGCTACGTACCAGGTGTTCTATTTCAGTGAGAGAGGTGGATCGTTTCAATGCAGCGGCCAGTGTTCGGTTCATCTTTCCTGCAGATTCAATGCTGTTGTAGACAGACGACATCTTGGACATAACATTCCTGGAATATAACAGTATTGTTGAAAAATAAGAACATGTAACAAACATTGTTAGCATAATCACAGCATCAGCTAATCGGGAATATAAAATCAGAAATGGCCTCACACATTGTACCCATGTGGGGAATTGAACCCAGGTCTTCTATGTGACGAGTAAATGCTTTAACCAATAGGCTACCCCACCATGCCCCTCTCTTAGTGATCAGAAAAAGAATTTTGTTGTCCTCATTTTACCCTATATGCCTAGAATATCCTTACTTGAGATCATCAAGAAGACTGCTGACTTCTCGTAGTTTCTCGGCCTCCATACCCCCCTGTTCTCTCTTTACGGTATCTCGCAATGAAGGGGATGGTGGCGCCCTCTTCCAGCATCTGCATCAAATTGCGAGCAACATCTTGTGATGTGTCTACTGTATCGGCAATCACTTCTTCTATCTGCCAGCTTGGCACGATCGGTTTCCCTTTTGGAGGCATTGCTGTGACAATCTAGAACACAAGTGATAATGACAATAGGTTGAAAATCATAATTATTCAACCTGGCTTGTCACAGTCTCAAATTACAAATTAAACAACATGAGTGGAAATAACTTAAGAAGTAGGTATAATGTTATAAATCTACAGTGGCAAGAAAACATACAATATTGTATATGATCATATTAGTTCTGCCTTTGAAGCTTATAACTTTGCACCATTAGAATCAACATCATTTCTGAAACAGAGTTTTTCTGAGGAAGTCAGAATATTTAGTTTCTTTTAAAAAACATATTTTTATTGAGGTTGAAATTTTGTGCAATAATTGAAAATAGTTTAAAGGTGAATATATGACACGTTTTATGGATAGTTTAAAGGCATTTTAAATTAACACAGGTGAAACAACTTCAAATTCTTCTTGGACACACAGATAAAACAAAGAACAAACAAAAAAATTCTTGAACGGTAAACAGGTGATATCGATCACAAACTTACAGGGGTACCGTTGTCTGAATCACAACTGTTCTCAGTCTCAGAATCAGATCCCGTATAGTCGGTGAATGTTCTGCGATAGGCTATGAGACACGAGCCGACAGCTTGAAACCTCACGTTCACTTTTAAAACAGGCACTGTGTTTATTGTTACTCTAACTAGCAGTAATGCAGTGGAGGTCAGAGTCTGTATCATAACGAATCCCGACCCCACTACTCGCATCTGTGACCACTCAGCCACGAAGGTTGTATTGATTTTACAGACGTTTCTATCACTTATAATCACGAGACTCCTTACATCGACATTGCTCCACTCATGTGCAGGTGCTGTCGTCACAGCACTGCGTGGAGCGCATCTTCATCTTCACAGAAATCTAATTTGTAAATTGAGACACCGACTTGTCTGATGATTGGGATTTCTTAACACATACCTGATCACTTGTCCAACTGAATCTGAAATTGTCACAGGCAGAAAGCAGTAGAGGAACTAAATATTGTTTGATAGCTGTTGTTCACTTCGAGATGGTGGTCGGATTTCCCCCCGTAAATTTGGTTGTGATCTACATGTAGAGTTACCTTCCCTTGAACAATTTCCTTCGTGCAGTTGTGACTGGCTGAGCGAGACTGCGTGTGGTAATTTTGATCAAGTCTTTTAAATAGACATTAACTCGGCCAGTTCCAAGTAGAATATCCTTCATTCAATAACTCTAATTCTAAATAATTCTGAACTTTGTCTCTCGGTATTTTCAATGACTTAGGTCCTCTCATTTGTTACAATTTAAATCATATATGTAACAGTATGCGTATGTAAAGATAGTCTGTCATACAAAAACCCTGAAGCAAATGTATCCCAGAAAGCCCACGCAAGTCTAGAAAATGTGGTAAGTCTAGATTTCTACAGATGAAAATGAAGAAATTCTCAGGGCTCCTTTTCATTATTATTTTTTTTTTACTATGAACTTTTTTTCTGTAAAATGTTCATTTCAGAGACTATAGCTGTTAGCCTAGTACAGAATCTGAATGCATTACACATTTTGTGTTTAATAAGTTATTTTTATATGGATATACTGCGTTCTCACTGAAGAGCAGATCCCAGACCAGGAAATGAAACGAAGTTCATCAGGAGTATTGACGATGTCTAACATAATGCATAATTTATCATAATGAATCACTCGACCAAATTATGTGCAGAAAGTTTTCGGCGACAGGACAGAATTGATCCTCTGTCAATGAAAAAACCACACCGTCTGAAGCAAAAACACAAAGTTGTGAATTATAACATTTAGCTTTGTTCCTGTTTTTCCAGTACAAAGTGGACTTACATCAATGAAGCAGAAAAAAACCCGGAACTGAAACAAGAAGTCAGTTGAACATAAAATATTATTATTCTATTACATTTTAATGTATCTAGTTGCCCCGGTCCGTAAATTAAACAGCTTTCATGCAAAATACGTTAATAAAGTATAAATGTTGTTGGATTATCGAAAAAATCTACCCGTTTACACAACAGACTAGACTAACATCTAGTTTCTGAAATGAACATATTTTACAGAAAAGACTGTTCTTAAACTAATTTAATCATATATGATAGAAAGAAACCTCGAGATTTTATTCATTCTAATTAACCGGAGTAATCTAGACTTGCATGTGCTTATTTGTTTCAGGGTCTGTATGACCCGAAGCTGCAGTAATCTAGATTTGACACGTATCATAGACTTTATATAGGCTTTCTTGGATATATCTGTTTCAGGGTCTGTATGACATACTACCAACATCACCTGGAAAACTCAGAAACACAATGAAATCTGTCATTGTTCACATCCATGCTTCGTACATACAATCACACAACGGATGAACATTTCAACAATCCTATTATTTTTTTCGTTTGAATAAAATATGTATTAATACAGGTACTTACATTTGCAGACAGTGCTCATTATTATCATCCCTTAAAATAAAAGTTATCACAGAGTTTTTGGGATGACAATTTTAACAATAAAAGAACTACAGAGGAAAGAGGGGATGCGGGGCCATAAATCGGGACCTAATATTCTATTATGGAGGTTAGGTCTACTAATGCCTACAGTGAATAATGCCTACAGGGAATAATAGCTACAACGTTTGCAGTGACAGCGATACGCTTACCTGCACACAAGTAGATTGTTCCACTTAGTGTGCACTATTGCCTACAAAGGGATTAGGGGAGGCCAGCAAGGAGAGTAAAGAGTAAGATCAAGAGTATTAAATCGTTAGCTAGCTTATGTTTTGATAATTCCATACGCATTTAGTTCTCACACGAGAAGGAAATTGAAGAGTAAAGTAATTAATAGAGAGATTATTAAAGGGAGAAGGAAATGTATTGCTTTAAAATGCTTGTGATACAAATCTTCATTGCAAATCATGGCAAATCCCAAGAAAGTCGAATACTTCACATCACAGAAAGGAGGACAGCAGGTACTCTTGGAGGGATACCGCTACAGACTCAACAACAGGCGACAGACGTGTGTACACTGGAAGTGTGTTCAAGGTGGCTGCTTTGGCAAGTGTACGACAGTCGGACAGTTTGTTCGGATGATGACAAGATTCTCTGCTTCGCCACAAGTGACCGCCTGACCCTCCTGCAAGGAAGTGGACACCCTCTACATGGACGGCACCTTCTACTCCTGTCCTCCTCTCTGGGATCAGCTGTACGTCATCCATGGCCTAGTCGGAGGGAAGATGACCCAGTTGGTCTTCTGTCTACTGCCGAATCGTCAACGCCGCACCTATGAACGCCTGCTACGTCTCCTGAACGACAAGATCCAGCAGACAACGGGAGCGCCCCTTCAGCCTGATGTCATCCAGACGGATTTCGAAATCGCTGCCATCAACGCTGTTAAGACCGTCTTCCCCAACTGCGACGTCCGTGGATGCTATTTCCACTACAGCCAGGCTCTCTGGAGGAAAGTACAGAACCTCGGCTTCAGCGAAGCCTACCAGCAGGATCCTGAGGTCCACAGATGGGTCCGACGAGCAGCAGCACTCCCCCTCCTCCCAGTGGCCATGGTACAAAATGCCTGGATAGAGGTCATGGACGACGCCCCTGCCATTGGACAGAAGGATGAGTTCCAGGACTACATCACCAGCACCTGGATAGACGACCATGCACAGTTCCGAGCCGGACTATGGAATCACCACGACACCAGCGGCCCAAGGACGAACAATCATCTCGAGGGTTGGCATTCGCATCTCAACAAGACCGTCCAGAGAGCCCACCCGAACATTTTCGCTCTTGTGAAGGTTCTGCAGAAGCTGGAGAAAGCGGGGAGAGAAATAAGCTGGTGCAGATGGTTCATGGCGCCCGTCCCCACCCGCAAGAGGACGTACACAGAAATTGACCAGAGACTCACTCGTCTGAAGGCCCAGCTGACATCTGGTATCAAGACGCCCCTGGAATTCCTGACTGCTGCAGGATATTTGATCAAGCTAGCTTGAAAACCAAATGACCATGTTGATGAATGTGTGAAACTGTGTGTATACATGTAAATTACTTTTGGTTACCACAATGACTTTATTAATGAATGTGGTAGTTGACTGTGTGAAAGATGTATATATGTATATATAATCATGAATCAAATTAAGTTTTAATTACATTTTAATCCAAATAAATGATTATGTTTATTTATGTAAATTTATTTATCTCAAAACAAACTACTATGTGAAAGATATGAATAAAGTTTAAGAAAATTAAGAAAAATATGACAACAATGTGAAAGATATGTATATGAATGTACATATGTATATGAATGACCAAATAAAATGTCTCTCAACATAGAAAGTTACTGTTTTCTATATACTGTAGGCATTAGTGCACTTTGAAATAGGACCATGCCATTTATTGAAAGGTTGAAGGCAGGTGCAATCAGCAGCACTGGTGCGTAAAGTTGTTTATTTAACACTGTAGGCATTATTCACTGTAGGCATTAGTAGACTCCACCATTATGGACATTTTCCCCAGTTATTATTAATCTAATTATAAGAAAGATAGTAGATATCAATATTTATACCCTGCATTTATCCATTTATACAGTCATATAACAGTTGAAAACAATCCTATTTACATTTGCGATTTTCATGTGGTTTTACTTTAGTGAAGAAAAAATCGCTGTTGTGGATTAAGATAGACGTTAAGCACGTCTGTTAAACAGAGGCACGCCTCATTGTTTGTTATTCGACGCAGCACTCGGGAATATTCAATGCAATTGGGGTACGACGACATACATGAACCAAGTCAGCGAGTCGCTTTTTAAGTTTGTTGTTTAAGGCCACTCAGCAATATTCCAGCTATATGGCGGCGGTCTGTAAATAATCAAGTCTGGACCAGACAAACCAGTGATCAACCGCCTGAGCATCAGTCTACGCAAGCGGGATACGATAACATGTGTCAACCAAGTCAGCGTCCTGACCACCCGATCCGTTAGTCGATTCTTACAAACAGCATGGGTTGCTGAG